GAGTGTTCCATCTTGTTTCCCTTTGGGGTTGCTGTAGGTGATCCAGAAGTCTGTTTTTGAGGCTTGTTTATGTGTTTTCTCATTTCCACTGGAGGGGGTCGTGCTTCTGGCACCAATGCGGCTCACCTTCTCTGCCCTAGGAGCTTGGGATGGCAGCAGGGGAGCTTCCTTCCAGGTGCTGGGACCAGCTGAGCGTCTCTGCCCTAGGAGCCTGGGATGGAGGCGGGGAGCTTCCTTCCGGGTGCTGGGACCGGCTGAGCTTCTCTCAGAAAAGTGTATTCATGCTTAATTAATTTTATTTAGTTTTAAATCTCGCTGACAAACATTAGATATCTTGGTTGGAGAATAATTTTTCAGTTCTCTCACATGCTGATTTTTCTTAACTCCTTAATACCATAAGGTTCAAAATGGTACACTCATTTCAAAGTTCTTTGAGTTCTTTTCTGCACTCGTTTTTTGTTTCTCACCCATGGAAGATGCACCAGGATCTAATGAAGTTGTCTAAGACTTTCAAAAACTTCTCTCCTGTTTGTATGTGTGACTCACCATCAGGGCAGGATGATGAGTAATGAAGAATGAATGATAGGGTGGGGGAGGCAGGTCAGTGGTAGAGTGTGTGCCTAATATGCACTAGACCCTGCATCTGTCCCCAGGAGATCAAGTAGAAGAACTGCAAAGGGCTGCCATTCCAGCCCCCAACAATATGGAGAAAAGAAGTAAAGGCGTGCAGTAAAAAGTTAATGAAGAGCTCAAACTTTGGAGTCAGAATGGATTAGAATTTCTTAGTGCCTTAATTTCTTCATTTGTATAATGGGGAGATAATATATAAGTACTCATCATATTGGGCAGTAATGGTGAACCTTTTAGAGTTTTCAATGATAACAAACAGCTGGCTGTGGCACAGGTGCCATAAGTTCGCCACCATTGACCTAGGGTTATTGTGATGCATAAATGGGAAAATACCTGTACAATGCCTTGCTGTTCAATCTGCCCTCCAAAATGCTAAATATCGACTCATTCCCTCTTTGTCAATTGGGGCTGGTATGTGACTGTTTACGACAGTGGTAGCGAACCTCTGGCACTCGTGTTATTTGTATTTCTTTTTAAGACAAAAGATGTTAATGTATAAGCTGGTTTTTTTTCTAAACTAAAACCTCAGTATTCAGGTTTAATTGCAGTGTTGGCACTTTGTGGGTTTTGGGTTGCAGTTTTGCTACTTGTCTCTAAAAGGTTCACTGTCACTGGCTTAGTATACTAGAATGTGGAAGTAGTGACACTGCCAATTACGAGATCAATTTTTAAGAGGACTGGAAGTTTCTATATCTTTTCTTTTGATACACTCTCCTTTGGGATGCTTCTTCTCAGAACCCAGATACCATGCTGGAAGAATCCTAGAAGTATGCTACAAAATATTTAACAGCCATCTTTACTGAAGAAAGGTACTAATTTGTAGCATTTGCCAATTTTCATGATGCAATACTCCTTCCATGGCTGAATATAAACTATGTGTAGTCACTGAACTATGAAGTTAGTAAGAGTTGTCCACACAGAGACAATGGATGTAAATAATCACAAAGCATGGGTTAATATAATGGCAAAATAATTAGGGAGTGATGTTTTGAGTATTACCACTGTTCTTAAGATATTTAATAATATATATATATATATATTTAATTGATAATGATGGCTTTGTTTAACATCCAGCTCACAAAATTCCCTGAGATTTGTAATTGATTGTCATAAACTGGTATAAGTTGGCTCTAGTATATCACATGCCAGATCCAGCACACCACTCAGCCTAAGGCACTGGGAGAAGTCATATGTAGAAGGTGCAGGCCCCAGCCCTGACTGACCAGCACATGGTCAATATCAACTGCCAGCCATATGAGTGTGACATTTGTTTTTGCAGTGTTGGGGATGCAACCCAGAGCCTTGTGCATACTAGGCAAGCACTCTACCACTGAGCTACATCCTCTGTGCCTAATGCTCCAATGTTTGAACTTCCAGCAAAGGTTAGCCTTCAGATGTGTCTAGCTGAGGTTGCCATCTGACTGCAACTTCATGAGAGATCCCCAATGAACACTGGTCAGTTGAGCCTGCTCAACACACAGAACCATGAGCAATAATAATTTACTGTTGTTCCAAGCTATAAGCTTTGAGGTGATTTGTTATGCAGCAATAGGTAACTAAATATTAATGCACAGAAATTGCTCAGTAAATAACAGATATTGTTTTGATTATTATAATTATTGACCAGTTAATTGTAACAGTAGTTCAAGCAATGAGGATCTATTCATTCTACTGGCAATAAAGGAAGATTCCTTTTATTGCTTTCCCTTGGGAGCCTAGAATTTCTACATAATGAATATAATTTAACCCGAATTTCCCTTAAAATGTATGTGCAACTTCCATAATTACTTTCCACAGTATAGTTAGTCTCCCATGGGCCTGTCGTTTATTTTCTTTCTGCCACAGTAGGGAGGGCATGAAGTGAGGTCGCACCACTGAAACCTAAAGCATCATGACTAGGCAGCTCGGCTATTCCATTTTCAACAAAGCTTTAATAGTTTAATACGAGCAGTAGAAAGATTCATGGATGAGCTCACTACTTTTTTCTCCCATCCCTAGTCTTACCATTTTCTTGTTTTCTTTAACCAACCAGAGGATAGATATTAACAGGGACAAAATACTACTTACAAACAATTACAGATTTAGTCAGTCTCTCCCCCTTTCCCCATCTCCTCAGGGAGAGCCCATCTTTGCCAATTGGGCTTCTATCTAAGCCATTTTTTAGCAGATCCAGGTAGTGGTTAAGAGGGGGATTGAGAGGCTCTCAGTTAAGATTGCTTAATTTACACTGATGAGGGCAGAATTGTAGAAAAAAGGAATAAAAGAAGAAAATAAAGGGGGGACTCTGAGGGCTTTGCAGGCTTTGAGGGGATATAATTGGGGGTAAATTAAGGTAGGAAAGAGATGTGGAGAGATGCTACTGACAGCGAAAGAGAGGGAGGGAGGGAGAGACAGAAAGAGAGATTTATGCAAAATTATTTTTCCCTTAAATCTGTCTACTCATAAGCTTGGTTAAATGTGTCATGAATGTAATTTCTCTCCAGAAGTTTTCTTAGTAACAGACTGTATTTTTCATTTTGCTTACTGGACTTGAATTTAAGAGCTTTAAGTAGGAAAACACAAAGAAGCTAAGCATTATATGGATTACATTGAACTAAAATCTAATTTGCATTGTAATTGTTTAACAAGACTCTTAGCTTTAAATATGGGAGAGGAGTGAGTCAAACAATGGTTTTAAAAGACATTTATGGGACAATTAAAGACTGAATATTTGATGTTTATGAATACCATTGCTAATTTTTCATCTTCATTTTAATTTAAACAGGATTGTGGTTAAGACTAAAGTCATTTCTTTTAAAGATAGTACTAATGTATTTATAGATGAAATAATATGTCTAAGATTTGCTTTCAAATAATCTGGGGTTAGGGCAAGAGTAGGTGAAATAGAAGATAAAATAATATTAGCCTTTTATTGACACTTGTTGAAGTTGGGTGATTCATGAGGTACTCGGGGTTCATTACACTATTCTTTCTACTTTTGTGGATGCTTGAAAATTTCCATAATAAAAAGTGCAGAAAAAAGTGGGCGAGTTAATGTCTATTGTTCTTACTGTCTAGAACATCTAAATTAATTGCTTTTTATTATGTGGTCCATATTTGCTTTTTTCCTGTGGGTTGTTGGTTCTTGACAGGAAATTATAATCATCACCCTTGATTGTGAAAACATAGGCTGTGTGTTTGCTGATATTTGAGCACAGGTGGAATCTACTTAACTCAATCCAATACTAACCAGCCTTAATTTAATTAGAATCAAATTTCAAGATAATTCTTCAGTGACTAAAAGATTTCTGTGGTGTATTTTTCAAGGGGCTTAATGAATAAAAACTTGACTTAGAGCTACCTTCTGGGACTACATGTACTGTAGAAGTTGAGGTCCAATGTTCGCTTTCTGTAAACTGTGTTATCTTGACATGAATTTCCATTTCATACCCTTTACTTTTTTAAAGAGAGGGAAGCAGACCAGCATGGCCCCAAACTAAGGATAGTTATACAACCTGTACATTTCTGCTTTGTTTCCCTAGACAATGCTGATGAAGTTGCAGAGCACATTTTAATTTTGATAAATGAATCTCCACCTCTGGATGAAGAAGAGACCAGGATTATTGTTTCTAAAGTAGCAGAAATTTCAAAGTGTGATGAGATAAGTATGAACCTAACCCAGGTTATATTACAAATAATCAGCGCTGTTTCAGAAAAGCAAACTGATTCTACCTCCAATCTGCATCAAGTAAGCAATGAGTAAGTACTGATACTTTGGTAAAAGAAATTATTTCATACAATTTAAATTGTATATGATGACTCCCTTAGCATAACAGTCTTCACCAACTGTAAAGGTCAGGTAGTCATACAGTGGACCCTTGACTTATGAACTCACTCGGTTCCTGAGGGCTCATTGTAACTAAGTCAATACAGCTGAAATCTGGATGTTTACCTGAGTACACGCTATAGATAACAAGAGGCAGATTGTCAGGCGGGTCGTAACTTGAGGACCCACTGCACACTGAAATGCTAGTTTGTCCGGTATAATGGGGTCATTTTACTCCAATCCTGTTGTGAAAGAACACATTCACACTTGAATTGTATCCTAGTGAGAATGACTTTTTGGAGGAATAGTCATTCCAAGCCAAACCTGCAACCTATTTCCCCAAACTTGGTGCTTCCCCAGAGTTCTGCATTTCTATAAAATGACCTAAGCACTGCTAATGCAAAACCTCAGGAATCATACTAGTTACCTCTCTCTAGCTCATAGCCAATCAACAACCAACTTTGTATGAGGCACTGCATACATGTTTTAAATGTCTCTCAAATATTCTAGTGGAATCCATCTATTGCTCTCTAACTCCACCCCTCTGGTTCCAGCCTCATTTTTCTCCCTTGGCCATCTTCATTGACCTCTGAACTGATCTCTCTGCCTCCACTCTTGCTCCTCTATTGTCCATCTTCTACATAGTGGCCATAGTGCTCTTTTAACGCATATGTAAAATCATGGCATTCTCTTGCTGTTACAACCACAGGGTGGCATTCTATTGCACATCCAGTGAAATCAAACTTATTTTTTTTGGGGGGGCTATTGGTGATTGAGCTTCGAGCCTTTTCACTGAGCTACATCCCCGGCCCTTTTTATTCTTTATTTTCAGACAGGGTCTCCCTAAATTACTACATTGCTGAACTTGAACTTACAATCCTCCTGCCTCAGCCTCTCAGAGTGCTGGGATTGCAGGCATGCCAGCCTCAGAACTTCTTATTAGGCCTGTAAGGCCCCGAAGGATCTGACTTTCCAAACAATTTTATTTAATCTTCAAAACCATCTTTTGAGATGTGTGCCAGTTTTACCTTCCAATTTGCAGGTGAGGAAACCGAAGCTCAGGGAGGCCACTGTATTTCCCACACAGTTAGAAATGAGAAGCACTAAGACATCGACCTACGCCTGTCTCCTTCTAAGCCAATGGTCTTAGCTAATGATTTCTAAACTATAAAAAGACAGGGATTAAGACGAAAAACAGTCTTCCAGGTAGGAAATCCTGTCAGAAGGATGGGCTTTACAGGAGCAAGTAGTCAGCCCCTTCTTCACCTGTGGTTTCTGGCAGAATTCTGAGGATAATCGAGTGTGCTGGCCACAAGATGGAGTTTTCTGGGAGGACAGCAAATCTGACGGTGTCCAGGCTGGCTTTAGCTGTGCTGCGGGTGGGCCACAGTTTTGAAGGCATGGCCTTCAGCATTCACTCCTCCGAGGATGGCACAGCCCCGGAGGTGAGTGAGGATGGGAAGCCGTCATCACTGACTCACTGACGCGCCTCTGGGGAGGGCCAGAGGACACTCCTTAAGCGTTTGTCCTTAGGGGACCTCGTGAAAACACAAATGTCCCAGGGAAGAGTCATGTAACTCTTAGCAGGCGAACATCTTGATTGGAATGGTGCCTGGTGGCTATGAGATGTGCAGCCATGCCACATTTGGCCTTGCGACCTGAAATCATTTCAAATGTCATTTTATTACTTGCTGACATCTGGAGCACTTATTGTATGTTGGGTGTTGTGCTGCTGTCTCCTTTGTACCGATAAGGAAACAGAGAAGTTAAGTAATTTGTCCAAGGACGTACTGCCTAATGCCTAAGCCAGAATTCAAGCTTACGTTTGGCTGGCTTTAAAGTTGTAGCCCAGAATGCTTAGCACAAAGCAATGACAAATGTTCGAGGTGATAGATATGGGAATTATCCTGGTTTGGTTATTATACACTTACAAAACTATATTGTTCCCTATAAACAAGTACACTTACTATATATCAATTATAAAAAGAATTCTGATCCTTTCCCACTGTGTCACACCACCTCAGACTTTAGCAGATCATAGGCTACCAACATTGATCAATTTGGGGGTCCAGAGTCTTCTTTTAAAAATTAATTTTATTGGTACATTTTAGATATACACAATGGTCACATTCATCATAGGGAATTTGTACCTGTACATGATGTATTCTTCTTTTTTTCCCAGTCTCCTCCCCTTCTTCCACCCCTCCTCCTCCCTTATTTACAAAAGCTTTGTTGCCATCTATTCCTTGCATTCTCTTATTTTTTCTTTTCCCTTACTTCCTTTCCCTCTCCCTCTTCCTAGTTCCCCTTCCCGTTTGAACATTTCCTCCCAATTTCACAAAAGGAATATTCACAAAATTAATTATACAGTCTTTTTAAAATTAAAAAATTATAAAATTTACCTATGGGAAAATGTACAAATCCCAAGTCTATACGTTCTGAGTTTTGTCAACTGCATACACCTTTATAAGCCCAAGCTTTATCAAGATATGGAATATCTCTACTACCTCTAAAAACTCCCTCAGCTCCCTCAGGCAATCCCTGAAACTACTACCACCAGGGCCATCATGCTTCTGATATTTTCCATTGTATCTTTTTCCTCTTCTAGAACTTTATACAAATAGAATCATATAATATGTACTGTCTTGTGTAATACTTCTTTTATGTAGCATTATGGGTTTTTTTGATACATCCTTTTGTTTTCATAGCTTATTCTTTTCATTGCTGAATAATATTCCACGTATCACATATTGTTTGTCTATTCTCCTGTTGATGGTCATTTGAGTTTGTTTCTCATTATTAGGTATTATGAATAATGCTGCTACAAGCATTTGTGTAAAATTCTCATGCAGACATATCTTTTTGTATGTCTTGGACAAATACCCAGATTTAGGATGACTGGCTCATAGGATATATATTTAATAGAAACTGTCATATTGTTCCCTAAAGTAGCTATTGATATGGAATAATTTTTCATGTTATTAGCCATTGATTTATCTTCTTGAGTGAATGAATTGCTAAAAATCTTTTACTCATTTTTAAATTGGAATGTTTTCTTTTTATTGAGTTGTAAGCATTCTTTATATATTCTAGATGCAAGTCATTTATCAGATACATGTTTTGAAAATCTTTTCTGTGTAGTTTGCCTATTCATTTTCTCAGTGATATCTTTTGATAAGCAGAAGATTTGAGATTTCATGAGATCTATTTTATGTTTTATCTCTTATGAATAACCATATATAGCATGTCTAAAAAAACCTTTGTCTACCAGAAAGCCATTAAGCTATTCTCCTATGCTCTCCTTTAAAAGCTCTTTGGTTTTACCTTTTATGTTTAGGAAGATAATCCAAATTAATTGAATTAGTTTTTGTATGGCATGAGGTAGACGTTGAGAGTCATTTTGTTCCATGTGGATTTCTAGATTTTCCAGAAATTGAAGACTTTCCCTCTCCCATTGTCTTGCTTTGGTACCCTTGACAATCAAATAGTAATAAAATTTTAAAACTTAAAATAGTTGTATAATGTACGTCTGTTTCTAAACTTTCTCCACTGTTTTGTTTATTTTTTTGTAGATTCTTCTATTGTTACTACACTGTCTTGGTGCTGAAGTCTTGAAGTTAGTCAGTGTGAGCCTTTCAACTTATTCTTTTTCAAGATTGCTTCAGCTATTCTAAGCCTTTTTTATGTCCACATAAATTTTTGCATCTGCTTATCAATTTGTGCAGAAATTTCGCTGAGATTATGATCAAGATTGAAGTTGTTGATCAATTTTGGGAGAATTTCTTTCTTAGCAATACTGAGCCTTCTAATCCAATAACATTTATTGTATCTGTTTACATCTCTGTCAGCAATGTTTCATAGTTGGAGAGATATTGTATATATATATATATTTTTTGGGGGGGTACTGGGGATCGAACTCGGGTCTTTGCGCCTGCATAGCAGGTGGCGAAACCACTGGGCTAAATCCCCGGCCCCCCGATAAGTTCTTTGTTTTTTTTTTGGTACCGGGAATCGAACTTGGGTCTTTGCACTTGCACAGCAGGTGGCGAAACCACTGGGCTAAATCCCCGGCCCCTATTGTATATATTTTGATAAATTTATTCCCAAGTATTTTATATTTTTGGATGCTGTTGCAAATGGAATAGATTTTACATTTGATTTTCCAACCCTGTTCCCCCCAAAATAAGACCTAGTTGGAAACTAATCAGCTTTGAAAACTAGAGATCAAAACTGCCAGCCCCAGTAGGCCTATCTCACCACCCCCATCACTGTTCTCTTGGTTGGTGGCTACTCTGTAAGGCAGGTAAGGCAAGGACAGGCTGACGAGGGCTGGCATTTTTGATCTCTAGTTTGCATGGTTGATTATTTTCCAGCTAGGTCTTATTTGGGAGGAAACACAAAATTATTTGTTGCTAGCATGTACAAATAAAATTGATTATATATAAAATATATAACATATATCTGAGTGAGCATGATTAATCCAAACATCCAAAATCCAAATTGCTTTGTAGTTTTGGATTTTGGCACATTTCAGATTTCAGAGTTTTGAATTAGAGATGGTTGACTAATGGAGTCTATGCAAACATTCCAAAATCTGAAACACTTCTGGTTCCATGCATTTTGTATAAGGGCTATTCAGTCTGTGCCCATGATAGATTCACTTATTCATTCTACTAGCTGTTTCGGGAATCCCTTAGGAATTTGTATAAGCCATTATCATCTAACAATAGAGAATTTTATGTCTTTCTTACTGATCTTTATTTCTTTTATTTCTTTTTTGGCCTTATTTTGATGTCTAATACTTCCAGTAAGATGTTGAATAGAAGTGGTTAAAGTAGGCATCCTTGTCCAATTCTTGATTTTACATGAAAAATATTCACTAGTTACCATTACTATTGTTAGCCATATTATTTTTAAGAAATCTTTAATTGGAGGAAGATACATTGTTTTTTTGTTGTTTTGTTTTGTTTTGTTTTGAGATAGCTTTTCACTAAGTTGCCCAGGCTGGCCCTGAACTCCTGCGCTTTAGCAGTTCTCCTACCTCAGCTTCTTGTGTAACTGGGATTTCAGGCACATGCTCTGATACCTTCTGTTTCTAGTTGCTGAAAATTTTTGTTCTGAATTGTTGAACTTCGCCAAGTGGTTTTTCTGTATCTCTTGAAATAATCACTTGTCTTTCCACTTTAAATTAAAACACTCTTACATTTCTGTAAGAAACTATTGGTCATGGTATAATTTTTATATTTCTATTTTCATTGTGTTTAAATTTTATTGAGTATTTTTCCAGTTCTCTTCATGAAACGTATTGGTCTCAATATTCTTTATTTGTCATTTCTTTGTCAGGCTTTAGATTAAGATTTTGCCAACTTTATAAAAATGAGTTGGAAAATGGTCCCTGTTCTACTTTCAGAAAGAGTCTGTGTAACATTAATGTTATTTCTTCATTAAATGCTTGATAGGGTTCATTAGGAGACCCTCTGGGTCTGGAATTTCTTTATGGGATGGCTAATCAATTTATTTAATAAATATTGTGGTATTCCATTTTTCTAATTCATCTTGTATCTGTTTTGGTTAGCTGTATTTTTCTAAAAATTTATTCCATCTATCTTATCAAGCTTGTTGATGGTTGGTTCATATATTTTAATTTTTAAAAAACATCTACAGGAGTTTTAACACAAGTTAGCAAACTTATTCCCTAAAGGGTAGATGCAAATATTTTAGACACAGATGTCTGTGTGCTGCATGTTCTTGTGTTTGTGTTTTTGTTTTCATTTTTTCTTCTTCTCCTAATTCTCTTTTGCACAACCTTTTAAAAAAGAATTGTAAAATCCATTCTTACCTCAGAGGAATACAAAAACAAGCCTTGAGTAGGATTTGGTCTGCTGACTAGTTTTGCCCACCTCTGATCTATATGATAACTCCTCTTTCATTCCTGATATCGATCATTTCTTTTCTTGTTTTTCCTTGGTCAGTATAGCAAGGGATTTTTTCAATTTTATCGATTCTTTCCAAGAACCAAATTTTGGCCTTGTTAATTTTCTCTACTGCTTGTTTTCTACTTTGTTGATATCTAATCTTATCTTTCATTTTCCATCTTGTACTTCCTTTGGGATTACTTTTTTTCTTTATCTAGCTTCTTAATGTGATCCATAGGCCATTGATTTAGACCTTTCTTCTTTTCTAATATTATCACAAGAAACTGTGAATATCGCTCTAAGCACTCCTTTAGCAATAGTACTCAAAGTTTTATATTTTGTATTTTCATTAGCTATCAGTTCAAAATATTTTCTTTCTTCTTTAAGGCATAGGTTACTTAGAAGTGTGTTGTTAAAATCCAAAATATTTGGAAATATCTTATTACAATTGATTTCTTGCTTATTTTATTTTGATCACAAAATATACAGTACTTGGTATAATTTCAGTGTATTTATATTTACTGAAACTTGTTTTATGACACAATGTATGAGCTATTGAAAGTGGGCATTTTATAGCTGTTTGATATGTGTTATAATTATTAATTAAGTCAGGGTGGCTGATAGTGTTGTTCAGGTCATCTTTTGTCCTTACTGATTTTTACCTGGCTGTTTCCTAGTTGAGAGGACTGCTAAAATCTCTAACTTTGATTGTGATATTATCATTCTCCCTTTAAGCCTCTCAAATTTTGCCTTGTTTCTTTTGAGGTTCTTTTATTAAGAGCATAAACATTTATAATGTTATGTCTTTCTAATCTGAACTCTAATCCTAATCTATTTGTCATTATGAAATATCCCTCTTTGCAACAATACTTATATATAAATATTTATATATACATATATAAATACTTATATAACATATATATTATATATAATACTATATATAAATATATATAAATATCCCTATCTGCAACAATAGTTTGTCTTATAGACTATTTTCTCTGACTTAAATATAGCCCTCCCAGCTGTTTTATGCTTGCTGTCTATATGTATCTGCTATTTTCTAATTACTTGTGTGGCTTCATATTTAAAGCATAGTTCTTATAGATAGCATGTAGTTTGTGCTTCACTTTTTTTAAAATTAAATTCTTAAATTCTTTTATTGGTACATTTTAGGTATACAATACGTTTACATTTATCATTGGGTGCTTGTACCTGTACATGATGTATCTTGGTTCTTATTTTTTCCCCATTCCCTGTGCACCCTTCACCCTCTCCACCCTTCCCTATTTACATAGACTTTGTTACCATTTTTTTCTTTTCTCATAATTTTTCCTTTCCCTTCCTTCCTTTCTCCTTCCCCTGCCACTTCCCTACCCCTTTGGACCTTTTCCTCCTATCTCAAATTATCAATTATTCATTTTAGTCACTTTAATCCTTATTTACACTTTCAGTTTCACACACTAGAGAAACTATTAGGTATTTACACATGTGTGTCCTATTTATTTCACTTAAGAGTATGGCTTTAATATGCATCCATTTAGCTATAAATGACTAGTTTCTCGTTCTTTATGGCTGAGTAATACTCCATTTTATTTAAAAAAACACATCTTCTATATCCAGTCTCCAGTTGATGGGCACTTGGGCTGCTTCCAAGCTTTTGCTTGTGCTTCACTTTTTTATCCATCCTGATAATATTTATCTTCAATTTGAGTGTGTAGTCAAATAATGCTTAATGATATGGGTAGAGTCAGGACTACCATCTTATTTAATTTTTGTCTATCCCTCTGTCTTTTGCTTCTCTGTTCCTCCTGTCCTGTTGTCTTTTGCTTTACTTTAATATTTATTACAATTATATTTTACAGATCCTTTAATTATGTCTATTTACATTGTCTTTTAATGCTTACTGTATTTTCACAGTCTACTCAGAAGTAATATTCTACTGTTCCATATGAAATGTAGAAATTCTGACTCATAAATATCTGTTTATACCCCTTCTTCTTTAGGCTATAATTTCATATTTTTTAATCTAAGATCATAAATCTCCAAATTCAGTGTTACAATCATTGCTTTAAATGTACTATGTAATTTTTTAAAATTGAGAGAAAAATAGTCTTTTATATTTATCTAGGTACTCATCATTTCTGATGATTTCTTTCCTTCATCTGGTATCATTTCCCTTTGGCTTCAAGAACTTCAGTTAGCATTTTTTATAGTTAAGTCTGATAATGAATTTTCTTAGTTTTATATGCCTGAAAATGTCTTTATTTCTTCTTTATTCTTTTTAAAATTTTTTTTGGTACCTGGGATCAAACTCAAAACCTTGTGCTTGCAAGGCAGGTGGGGGAACCACTGAGCTAAATCCCCGGCTCTCTTCTTTATTCTTAAAGGATATTTTTGCTTGCTATAAAATTATAGATTGGCATGACCCCCCCCCCCCCCCATTGGTTTGAAAATTTTCTACTCTCTTCTGGTCTCCATGTTTTCTGGTGAGAAATGAGTAATCATTTGAATTTTTATTTCTCTGTGTGTGGTATGTAATGTGTCATTTTTCTCCAACTGCTTTTCGTATGTGCTTCAATTTACTGCTGATTGACTATGACGTAGCTAAGCATGTTTTTCTTTGTATTTAATCTTGTTTGGGGTTTGCTGAGTTTCTTGAACTTGTAATATATGTATTTCCACCATTATTTCATCAAATACTATCTCTTCACCATTCTGTCTCCTCACCTTTGATGAGACTCCAATTTCATGTATATAAGACCTTTTAACACTGCCCCACCAGTCCTTAAGACTGTGTTCATAATGTTAATTATTTTATTTTCTACTCTGCTGGTGGGATGATTTCTATTAATTTATCTTCAAATTTGCTGACATTTGTCATCGTCATGTTGCGATTGAACCCATCCAATGCAATGTAAAAAATCTAATACTGTATTTGTAGTTCTAGAATTTTTTTGCCTTATCTTCCTTCTCTTTTACTTTGTCCTTCTCTTCCTTCTCCTCCCTTTCCTTCTCCTCCTCCTTTTTTTGGTTTCTGTTTCTCCACTTCTGTTTCTCCACTTTGCATTAATTGCAAGTGTATTTTCTTTTAGATACCTAGGTATAGTTATACTAACTTCTTTAAAATACTTGCCTGCTAATTCTAATATCTGAGTCATCTCAGATTGATCTTTATTGATTGTTTTCACTTTAAAATGTGTCAGAATTTTTTCCTTCTTCACATATCAAGTGATTTTGGATTATATTCTGGATATTGTGAATTTTGTATTGTGGGGACTCAATTTCTCTGAAGACTATTGATTTTTACTCTACTAGGCAATAAACTTGGCTGGAATCACACTGTAAACTCCATTTCCTGGGTGGCAGTTAAAATCTCAATTAAGTTCCTTTATTCTTAGTAGGGGTCTGTACTATACATACATGATTAATAGGTCAGGCAGATATTTGTGCAGAGCTTATACTTAGAATTTGGGCTCTTCCTTTCTAGCTCTCTCCATTCCAGATGCCCCTACCCTCTCCTTCCAGTAGCTGTGGGTCTCCTGACCTTAATTTTCTGATTCTTCACACAAGAAAGCCTGCAGATTCTCCTTTAGAGTTTAGATATCCTTCAATGCATTAGTTTCAGCCTACCATTCGACTAACAGTTATAAAACAGGTAACTCCCCTTTGATGTTACCTTTCTCCAGATGTCTACTCTTCACCAGAATCTGTCCACTTTCATTCATTTTTCAGTGTCTTCAAGTCATTGTTAGCTCATATTATTGTTATGTGCAGGGAGGTCAAATTCTTCAGGAGAAACTTAGGCGTACTTGAAGCAGATGTTGACTTCCTATTGTATTTTGTTTACATATGGGGTTTTCTGTGATAAACATTGGTGGATAAACCAACCAACCAACCAACCAACCAACCAACCAACTAACCTCACTTACATTCTTGTTGCCAAACTGTCTGCATACTGAAACTAAATCATGACCTTTCTTATGATACTCAGTTGCTCAAGCGAAGTTCATTTTTACTAGGAGAAATGCCACATGGTTTTGGGGTTTACAAGTTATTTTTAGAAATATTATAAACTTGCATCCCCTCACCATACACCTAACTAAGTAATAGCTCCTTGAGAGGTAACATGGGTAATAGAAAAAGCATAGACCAAAGCCACAGATATCTTTGTTTAGCTTCCTGGCTTGGTGACCTTGGATAAATCACTTAACTTCTCTGAGCCTCTGTTTCCTGGTATCACAATACAATTCTCAAGGTTAATAAAGGGACCAAGTGAGAGAATGTAGGGAAGTCTGCTTCTATACTCTGTTTTTGCCTGGCACTGGCCAGGTTATGACTCTGGTCCCAGTGTAGTTTTTGATAAAATAACCTTCCACTTTCAAAAATATTCCAGTAAACATCAAATAATATTACCAATCAAATGAGTAAATTCTTCTGCTCATGAGCCTTTAGCAGAATTATTAAAGACCAATGCCTCACTTCCTTGCCCTACTTTTAATGAAAACATTGCTCAATAAAATGTGAGGTAAGTTTATTGCATGTTTTTAATTGTTTTTGTTTTAGTTTGGTTTTTTTCCCACTTTCAGAACTATATGAGGGGAAGGTAGCATGATTTCCAAGACTAGCCTTTATTTCTGAGAATTAGGGAAAATTGTCTAATTTGCCATTCCCCTTCTGACAGCTATTATTAACCAGGTAGAACCAGGTTAAAGGAAGAGAACCTCAGATATAGGCTTGGAAAGGAAGAGGTGGTGTGTGTGTGTGTGTGTGTGTGTGTGTGTGTGTGTGTGTGTGTGTGTGTGTGTGTATGTGTCTATATGCACCAGGACAATGTCTTGGCCTGTAATTCTGAGAATGTGCAAAAGGGGTATGATAGCTTTATGAAGTTACTTTCCAGCCCTCAGTCCTGAGTGGGATGCTCTGGGGTGGGGGGTAGAATTTCATGCTGATGCATGAAGACTCCAGTTTTCATTTCTTGGCTTTTCTTGGCAGATTTACCTAGGTGCTGTCCCTCTGGGGAGGGTCTTGGCTTCCATATATTTGCCCGAGTCACTGAGTGAGAGAATTCCTCTTAACAACTTACAAACCATCTTGTTTAGTTTTTTTGGCCAAACTTCACTCTTTAAGGTAAGTTCTTGCCTCTAATAGCTGTCACGAACCGACATATGGTGACTCACTGTAATTATGAGTTCCTGCTATTTTCACGGTGTTCTGTTTATTTTAGAAGACACTCTCTGATTGATTCTACAAGTCTCCCAGCACAACCCCTGCCCTGCAACATGAACCATCATCTACTTTAATGATGTTTCACAGTTTTTAATTTTTACAGTTTCTCAGCTTTGGATGGGGACTTAAGGATTATCCAGTGACCAAACAGAGACCTCAAAATGTTTCAAAGCCAAAAAAGAACAGCATGTTCTCCTGATGAAATGCCCTTTGGGCTTGCCAGTGCTTTCCCCCCAATTCTGTCCTGGTTCATCAAAGCCAACATGCACACTCTTGTGGGCCAATTCGTTTGAAACTAGGCAGGGTCCAGCAGGACACTTCCCTGTGAACATTTTTTGCTCTTTCTCCCCACCTGCACAGAACCCTTTCTGAGAACTCCATCCCTCACCCTCTCTAAAATAGGCAGTATGATATGATGATGAAGTCCACAGACTCAGGGGTCAGGATGGGGGAGTCTGAAGATGCTTTGCCATATTCTACCTGTGCAAACTTGAGCAAGCTGTTCAATGTCCATGTGCCTTAGTTTCCTCTTAGGCAAAATAGGATAAGAATAGTATATTATAGAGCTTTTCAAAGACTAAAAGAGGCAATATGTATTAATTGCTTGCAATGAATATTTGCATTGCTATTTTAATTATATTTTGGGGGTCTCTGTCTACCAAAAGGCCCATTCCTCCAGACCACTAGCTGCTGGGAAGACAGCAATGCCTGCATGATATTGAACGCAATAATTGTAAGAGGTTAAGTAATTTTACGCAAGGTCACAGAGCTAGGAAGTGGCCTAGCTAGGAATCAAACCCAGGCCATCTGACTTCAAGGTTCGTGTATTTAAGAGCTAATTTCTCAGATGTGTTGCATTTATAAAGAGGTGATCCAAACAGAAGAACTTTTAATGGTCAAATATTCACAGAGTTATTTGGGGGAGATTGTACTGGGTCAGTTTAAAATATACCACATTTCCTTGCCACTTATGTTCATATGATATTCCCCTCACATTCCATTAGCCACTTTTCTATCTAAATTTATTCTTGTGGGCTTAGTTTAAATTCTATCCAAGGTGCATACCTGTGGTTAGCAAGCCCCTGCTCTCTTCGCAGCCCCCCAGAAAATAATTTTTAGTGGACAAAAATGTTTAATAAAAGTTAAAAATGTGGTTTATAGCTGTCTGACCCTTTTGATAGTCTTGTCATTTCTCTGTAAACATCTGAGATGCCATTGTTTTGATCTTAATTGCTTTCCTTTTTTTCAGAGGGTTGTGTTTGTCTCTTGGAATAAGAGATAAACTTGCTTTGCATAGATTTCTCACTTAATAAGTAATTTTCATTCACTAACGCCTTGCACTAAAATAGATTAAAGATCTTTGCCAAAACTAGCCTATGGATGACATAGTGCCAGATGAAGAAGGATTAGAACTAGTCTGCCATCCAATTCAGAGCTGGAAAGTCTCTCATAACTCATAGTGCCCCATCTCCTCATGGTACCAAGAAAGACACTGACACCCAGACAGAGGAAGGCACTTGCTGAAGGTGGCATATTTTATTCACTTAATCATTTATTCATTCAGCAAATATTTATTGAATTCCTACTGTGTCTTATGTTGTGTTTAATGCTGGGGATCCAATGCTGAGCCAGGAAAATACAGTGCCTGTCATCAAGGAACTTGCAGAGTGATGGGGGAGAGTAGAGACCTAAAGTCTCTAACACTTAAAGGTGGACCTGAGGCTTGGATTTGTGCTACTGACTGCTGAGGAATGAGTGCTAACAAGATACGCCGCCCTTTAACTACCTTTGTTTTTCATTTTCTGAGTTTCACAGCCTTGCTTTCACACTGCTTCCTCTAACACCTTTTCATCAAAATCTTAACTGTCATTACAATGTATTACCTTAGGAACTGTTGGTGAGACACCATTCTTGAACATCTTGTACCTTCTCTTGTACTCCTCCACCAGCTGCAGTTCTCAGAAAGGGGAAAAGACACAAGGCAAGAGCAACGTTCATAGGGGCTCTGGGACTGTAGATGAGGGTCTCTACTCTCACTGGTAGAGCTTCAGTGGCCTTGTGTAAGAGCATTCTCAGCAGACTCCACAGGGCCTGAGGGAGTTGCAAGATGGGAGAGGATGAGGAAGGAAGAAGCAGGAGGGCTCAGGCGGAGGCAACAGCTTCTGTAAAGGTCAGAGGCATAACAGGAAAAACTTGAGCCTAGAGCAAAAAGAGTGGAGGGGTAAGGAATGGTTTTGATCCTTCCCCAGCATGGCAACCATTTGTAAATAAGAGAAATGAAGCCAGAGAAGAGATTAATTAAACCCTGGACCATCGTGGATGTCTCCACCTTTGGCCTTTCCACCATGGAAAACTGTTTCTCTTAGACTAAGTTGGGAGGTTCAGTGGAGACATAGTACACTCTCTTTCCTGATGTCATCAATGACCAAGGTGGAGAAGACTTTTTTGGGGGGGAGAAGACTTTTTTAAGAAACAAGAGGACTCTGTCGAGCACTTGGTCTTTTGAGCATCAGCCAGGGCCCTTTCCAACTGCTGATTTCACCTCTATATCACACTGTCTCAGATAATTCCACTGGGAAGGGAGCGCTGAGTCATCAGGTTGGTTTTGCATGAACACAGTGGGTCCAGAACAGGAACTGAGTAGCTTCCTAGTAGTCTGCAAGCTACATTCACAATTCCCCCAGGTCAGAGACTGCAGGGCTCAAGTGGGGTAAGGAGTGGAGGCTACACACTATTTCTTCAGGAATATGAAGGTGCAGCATCTTCTAAAAGTGGCTATCAGGCTCTTCAAAGGATGTTGTCTAGGTTTACATCCTCCAGGCTTACTTGGCAAGCCCTTAGCAGATTCACCTCTTCTCCCTCCTGTCTCATGCCACTCCTATCTCTGGACTCTTTATGTGTGTCCAAGAAGAGGCTGGCTCTCAGCTGGCTCACCTTCTAGAGGCTTTGCCTTTGGTACTACAATTAGAAAGTCCCATATCTTGACAGGTGTATTCTTGTTGTTGCCTTTAAACCAACATTCATTAAATATCTCTTCCCTGCCACTCTCTAGCTGTGTGATCTTTGTGCATACAGGCATTGAGCTTGTTAAAGCCTTAAGTTTATCTGAAAAATGTCTATGTGATATCAGTGAGGACCAAGGCAGTATCTGTTTTGAAAGCATTTTGCAAAGTATTGGCTTACAGTGAGCACAAGATAAAATACCTATTGTGTGCTAGGCTGTGCAGTGAACACCAGGACACACAGGCTGGGACTATGGCCTCAGAGCTCATGTTCTTCTAGAGAGGAGAGGATTATCCTTACAGATTTCTTCCAAGCTGACTGTTGAGCAACCTGCTTTTTTTTTCTTTCTTTCCCCGTGAGGCTAGAAGAGGAAGTGGTTTATAATTAACCCATGATAGATTTAGATTCCTTACCCCTGCATTGTCAGGATCTGGAGAGTTATCAGGTAGAAAATTATTTTTATTTTGTTGCTAGTGCAGTGCTGAGTAACATGTGCAAGACCATTGCTGGTTGGATAGATATTTGGATGTGGATGGATGAATGAATTGTTTTAACTCGGTGTAATTGAGACATTATGTAAAGACAGGAGATGAGCTGAATGATCTCTGAAAATTCATTCTTAGCTTGTGAATTTTTTCTACATTTCATTACCTAATACCATGTATAACATTTCAGAAATTCTAGATTGAAAATAAGCATATAAGAAATGAGAAATTTAGAACCTGAACTCCTTTGTGTTTCATCTACAGACCAAAAATGTCACTAAAGCATTAACCTCATATGTTGTGAGTGCCAGCATTTCAGACACATCCATTCAAAATTTGGCTGATCCAGTGGTTATCACTCTGCAGCATATTGAAGGAAACTGGGTAACATATCCATTTTTATCTCAGAATCCAGTGGCCTCAGAATCCCTCTTTGATTCTCCTATTGAAAATAATTGGCTTATTAACAGATGTGAGTCAAAGAATTAATGAAGATTGTCCTACTCCATGTAGCAGGGGTGTGTTGTAACTGGGGACTTCTAGAAATAATTCCTTATGCTAAAGGCATAGTGAAAGGTGAGCATTCCAGTGCTGTGACAGATTGGCAAGGTAGTGACTGAACATAGGCGGATGGATCTCTTGGTTGTCCCAGCACACTAAATGACATTTAATTCCATTTCTTTTTGAGCGAGGCAAGCAACTTCATTCAAAATAACTGAACATTTGTGTACTTTGAATTTCCATGAAGAGCATTAAAATGTGTATTAATTATCACCAAAGGACCAAAACCACAGTCATATGGGATAACATAAGGCATATATTACTAAATGATCAAATTTAGCCTTAGTATAAGAATGAATTACTATTCCATTCTTTGATGTTAATGTGTGTCCAGTGTGAAGTCTTAATATCTTCCTTCATTCCTAATTTAAAGACCATATGGTACAACATATTTTTCACTAGTCTTGATTATAGAAGAGAAAAAGAAAAGGAAAGGGGGGAGAAGGAATTTAAAAAATACAGATACCAAATGAAACAGTGTTAGATGGATAAGATCTCTCTATTTGGAATGAGGCTACAGCTACAGCTCTCAAACCATCCCCAGTAATCAATTCTTTCTTGCCTCCAGTGTCTGGACACTGTAGGGGCTGATGAGGTCTTAAGAATGCTCTACTGAGGACTAATGAGGAGGCAATCCAGTCTTGTGTCCATAAGGCATGTACTCAGCTATGAGCCTTCAATTCCAAAGCTCCAAGGAGAACACCCACTATACATCAGCCCTGCACTGACTATCCACAGCCTCCTCCTGTGCCTTGCACCAGGCCACTATGGCAAAATTACATGCTACCAAATATCTGAAAAGAACATATACCAGATTATCATGCAGCAACATGCTGTTTTTTCACTTGAGTTAAATGGAGTTAGTCTTACAACCAATTTACTGTGGTCTGTGTGTGTATGTGTGTGTGTGTGTGTGTATCTACTGTCTGAAAAAATACTGAAAAAATCTTATGTGTATTTGTTATGGTGTGGCAACCCTCACAAGAAAAGTTGCTTTACCTCTGATTTCTTCTTTCCAGAATTATGATCAGGTTCACTGTGCCTTTTGGGATTTTGAGACTAACAGTAAGTATTTTTCAATTGCCCCCATAATTTTCCTTTTTGGCAGTTGAAATGGGAAATTGTGCTGAAGCTCCAGCCTTAGCAGATTCTACAGAGCACCCTGAATGACCAAGATACAGGATATGATTTTTATATCAGGTTAGGGCATGGAAATTATGAAAAAAGTCCTTTTTCATAAGACTTATTGGGAAGATCAGAAAAAACATGCAACTCAGGGGTAAGTGAAGTGAGAAGAAAAAAATGTGGATGGCCAGGTGCAGAGTTTTGAGCTGATTAAAGCAAGTGGAAGAATAATCCCTGGCTCTTTAATCTGTGCATTCTCATGGGGATTTACAATGTCAACTATTTCCTTCTTTTTTCTCCTCACCTGGATCGACCATTTACTCTTTCAACCTTTTTTATCTTTCATTGAAGAAATGAGACTTCTTGTTTGATACCTATGGGCCCTTCCTCCCTGCATAAGTATGAATCTTTGATTACAGTATGAGAAGATATTAGGGATGATTATTGCTGACTGGGTTTCTCTTAGGCTTGCCAAATCCACTGGAATCTCTAGAGATAAAACCAATTTCAGAGAATTCCCACATGGAATCAATTTCCCCTGAAATGCCAGGGCTGGCTGTAAGTCTTTCGACTTGTGGAAGCTCTACATGAGAACTTTCCCTTTTTCAATATCCTCAGGGTTTCAGAAAAAAAGGAAAATCCTCTTCCTTTGTGGCTCTCTGGGGTGCAAGAATGAAGACTTTTCCTCTGTGACAAACCAAAAAAACACGTCCTTTGCTGGTCCCCTCCAAGTCTCTCAGGAAAGGAATCCTATGAAGCCATGAGCTTTGTTCTCCACAGCTTTAATCAGTTCATCTCTGTGTGTGGTCATTAATGCCAATTGCTGGGATACCCCCAGGATACCCTGTGCCCCTGCCTCTGGGCCTCGTTGATCTAGAACTTCTGGAGTCTATGGGAGTTATTCCAGATGGACACATTCTGACTACACTTGGCTATCTGCCTTGGGATAACCCTTCCATTCTAATGTCACTCTAGAGATTCTACCCCAAATCTGCTGTAGGGCCCAAGATCTATAGATTATGGCCAATGAGAATAGGTTCCAGAACCCTGAGCACGCTCAGGAGAAAGTGGGTATGTGTCAAGTAGTCCCGATGCTCTAATTTGCCCCAAGGAGCTCCAGTCCATGATCTGGCTTGGGCATAAAATATTTGAGACCATCTAAATACTGTGTTGAACTGATCATTTTAGATATCTACTACAGTCCCACCAAGTAGGTTCAAATATCAGTGTATATTCCTCAGGTCCATATCCTTCAAAAAATCTAGATCTGCCTGTTCTGTCTGTTAACTACTTAAAAACAAAAAGCCGTCACTCCAGCAGGGTGGCAGAACTATTGCTCATGATTAGAGTATGTCACCATCCACAGAGGTATGTTACAAAAACAGGAAAAGTGAAAATCAAAGAAGTTATGCCATTCATGAAGTTCCCTCAACGTCAATTTGGTGTATTAGATTTAATTTAATTTTGGTGTTCAGTTATACCTCTATCTTGCTGTCTTAACAGACAATGCTAATTATGATACACGTTTGGATGGTGCATGTAATGAAAAGTTAAACATTTCTGAGAAAAGCAAAATTGCATTGAAATTCCCTTCTGTTTCCTGCAGATGGGCTAGGTGGATGGAATTCATCCGGCTGCAAAGTAAAAGAAACAAACGTAAATTACACAATCTGTCACTGTGACCATCTCACCCACTTTGGAGTTTTAATGGTGAGTTGTATCTTCATCACTCCTCCAACAATTCTGAAAACTTTTATGAGACTTGGAACAGTAACATATATATGTGAACTAAGTCATGGAAAATGAGACGATGTGGAAAAAAGCTCTTTATCCCATTGTCTTCATCCAGAGCAGAGCAAGTTGAAGCAAATGTTGATTTTTCTTTTTATAAAATTAATGCTTGCTTCTTAAATTTCAAGCAATACAGGAAAGGTCCCTTTAATCTCCTCCTGAGAGATCACTACCTTTAACAGTCTGATATATATTCATCAAGATTATTTTCTTATGTGTATATTAGTATAAGTTTTTGTTTTATAAAATGAAATTAAATTTTTCTTACTCTTGTCACCTAACAATATAAATTGTACAACTTTCTTAAAATATGTTAAATATGTATCCATCTACTTCAATTCTAAAAATACTTCGGTGGTATGCTATTATGTGGATGTAACACAATGAACTGAACCAACCCCTTCTGATAGGTGAACATTTTAGCTGCTTACCTCCACTGTGACTATTCCTGTAGGATTAATTGACAGAAGCAGAATTGCTGTAATAAAGGGTATGATATTAAATTTTTAAAATGTTAATTGGTATTTTAAAATTGCAGTATGTGAAAGATACATTGTTTAAATTCTTGTAGTGTTTAACCTAATAAAAATTATCTGATCAATTTGCATACCCAAGCTTAAATGCTCAGCATCATTGTTAACTTCTCCTGGTTCCTGCACTCCCTGAGATTCTCCTTAGCGTCAGGATTTGCTGAGTTTTCCTTTCAAATAGGTCTCGACCAGATGGCTTCTCTACCCACATATGAATACTTTCTTAGTTCTCTTAAATTACTATATTATATACTGTTATCTGAATATGCCATGTGTGAGTTGTTTCTCCAAGTAATGGTAAGCTTTTTGAGGGCTGAAAGTCTCTTTTACTTCTTTCTTTAAAAATACCAATTCAACAAACAAAAAGGTGCTCAATTAGTACTTCTCACATTGTGAGGATTTTGTTTAGCTCCTTCCAAACTGGTTAGAGCACTACATAGGAGCCAAAAGGGTTCATGTTCCAGCTCTGTCAGTAACTAGCTTTGTGATCTTGTTTGGGTTATTTTACTTTTTTGAAACATAGGTTGTTTTTTTTTTTAATGAGATGTGAACGATTGAAGAAGACCATGGCTTCTCAATCTTGGCACTACTGATCTTGTAGTCCCATAACTTTTTGCTTTGAGAGACTGTTCTGTGCATTATATGATATTCAGCAACACCCTGAGCCTCTAGACCCAATACATTCTGGTAGCACCTGGCCCAGCAGTGACAACCAAACATGTCTCCCAATACTGCCAAATGTCCCAGAGGGATGGACAAGTTATTTCCAGTTGAGAACTACCAGAGTAGACCAGTACTTCCTAATCATAAATCTCCATAACCATCTGATGCAAGTTATGGGCTTTCTTCCAGAACCAGTACACTTACATAGTCAAATAATTTTGCATCACATTTCAGGTCTTTTTTGGTCCTCAGGTTAAGACATTAGTAGATGATATAATCTTTAAGGTCCACTTAATTTTGTGAAAGTTATTTAAGGTCTAAGGAGAAGGAACATTTTTGATGTTCTGCGTAATATTTTTTGACGCTCAGTTCAGATAATGATTCATTTTGCATCCCAAATTCATATCTATTAGCTTGGTTATATTTTAAGTTAACGACAATAAAACCAAGGACTAAATGTTCTCCTGATGCTGTTGAGTGCTTTCCATGTCCTTTACACAGGAGGTTGTATTAGACATAGACAACAAACAAAACATGGTCCTATCCTATATCCATCCACATAATCTGGTTTTGCAAGAGCTAAAGCAGAGATGTTATAAGTCCTAAAAACCACCTGTTAGCACTGGCAATATTTTCCCATTAAATTGTGCTGGTAACTAGAAAAAGACAACACATTTCATTACATTCCCTAGGATTTATCCAGGTCAACAGTGGATCCAGTGAATGAACAGATATTAGTGATTATAACATACACTGGATGTGGCATCTCCTCCGTTTTCCTGGGAATTGCAATGGTGACATACATAGCTTTCTAGTAAGTTGATACAACCTTTCTCTGAGTAAGTTTAATTTGGTTTGATGGATGTTGTTGTCCTTGTAACCTTGTTAATTTTATGAACAAAATCACAATAAGAGGATGTCAGATCCATTAGATTATGAAATGGTCAAGTTAAAACAAAACAAAATAACTGTCACCTCTAAAAGATGATTTTAACTGGATTTTTAAAAGCAAGGGGTTGCAATAGAAAAAGACTTCTCTACCAAGATTCAGGAATACTAAGCGTACAAAATTTGTAATTTGGACTTCATTAAAAATAAGAACTTTTTTCTTCAAAAGACACAAGATAGTGAAAAGGCAAACCACAGATTGGAAGAAGATATTTATAATGCATATCTGACAAAAGATTTTTACAAGTATATAAAAAACTCCTACAAACCAAGAGAGACAGACAATACAATTGAAAAATAGACAAAGGAGTTGAACAGGCACCTCACAAAAGAGGCTATCCATACCTGAACCCAACTTTTACCTAGATGGCCAATAAGCACATGACAAGGTTCTCAATATTACTACTCTCCAGAGAAATGCTAGTCAAAACCACAATTATATATCATTATGTCTCCACTAAAATGGCTAAAATTAAAAATACTGATGATAGCAAGTGTTAGCAAGGAAGTGAAACAACTGGGCCTCTTACATAGTGCTGATGAAAATATAAAATGGCACAGGTACTTTGGAAATTTATTTGGCGATACCTACTAAAGACAAATGTATATCTAGACATTGACTCATAAGTTTCACTCCTAGATGTATACTCAAGAGAAATGAGTGCCTGTGTCCACCAAAAGATATATACAAAAATACTCATAGTAACTTCAGTTATAGAAACAACCCCAATATATATTACCAGTTGTCTGACTGAATAAACTGGGATATATTTGTAAAATAGAGTGAACACAGCAGTAAAAAGGGATGAACTACTTTTATACAGCGCAACATGATACCTAAATCCCATAGACATAGAATTGAGCAGAAGCCAGAAAAAATATCATAGCCAGGCATGTGATGCACATCTGTAATCTCAGCACTCTGGGTGGCTGGGGCAGGAGGATCACAACTTCAAGCCCAGTCTGGGTAACTTAGCAACTTAGCAAGACCCTGTCTCAAAACAATAAAAGGTGCTGGGAATGTAGCTGAGTGTGAAGGCCCTGGGTTTAATCTCCAGTACCACATACAGGAAGAAGAAGGAGAAGAAGGAGAAGAAGGAGAAGGGAAGAAGGGTGAGGAGGAGGAGGAGAAGGAGGAGGAGGAGGAGGAAAAGAAAGAGGGAGGAGAGAAGGAGGAGGAGGAGGAGGAGATCATGTTATATGGTTCCATTTATTTGAGTTCCAAATACAGGCAAAACGGAAATTGTGGGGATAGAAGTTAGAATATTGGTTACCTCTGGTGGGGTTGTTGGGAGAGAAGCATAGCAAACCTTCTGAGATGCTAAAAGGTTGATCCGAGTGGAAGTCCCACAGGTGTGTAGACATATAACGACCCCTTAGTACCTCCGTAAGACCTGTGCACCTTACAGTTTACCTCAGTTTAAAAACTGTGCATTTATACAGCATGAACATTGCAAAATTTAAATCAGTAAAAATTGAATCAAAATTGTGGAAGAATCAAAGAGAAAAATATATGTTTTAAAATTTGGAAAACATGAGGCCAGTTTCCCCAAGGTCAAATTGTAGTCAATTAGTGAAACTTTAGGTCATAATTCCACGATCCCAAACATTGAAATCTTTGGAAATAATCCATGTAATGCTACTTGAAGTGGTTTCCATGGTCACCTTGCCATTTGGTAATATGTAGATCCAGCCTGTTAAACTGATGATAGAATTGTAAGAGGCTATTACAGTACTAATATTGTTAGTGAAGGTCACTGTGCTTGGAATACTTTGACTCTACCTGGAAAGATGGTGGAGAGACTCTAAATATCAGTGTATGTAAGTTGTTTTTGTTTGTTTGTTTGGTTGGTTGGTTTTTTGGTACCGGGGATCGAACTCAGGACTTGTGCTTGCAAGGCAGGTGTGGTGCCACTGAGCTACATCCCCGGCCCTTCAGCGTATGTAAGTTTGATGAGTAATCTTAATAGACAGTTCTCTATTCCTGTATTACACAGATAGGATGTGGCAATATTTAATTTAAAAAGAGACCCAAGCTAACTTAACATTGTGCTGTTTCTTCCAGCAAACTTAGAAAAGATTATCCTTCCAAAATCCTGATCAACCTGTGCACAGCATTACTGATGCTAAACCTAGCATTTCTGATCAACTCGTGGTTGTCGTCATTTCAGAATGTGGGCCTTTGTATCACAGCCGCAGTGGCACTTCATTACTTCCTGCTTGTTTCTTTAACATGGATGGGCCTGGAGGCAGTCCACATGTATTTTGCTCTAGTCAAAGTCTTCAACATGTACATTCCAAATTATATCTTTAAATTTTGCCTGGTTGGTTGGGGTAAGTGTATCTGCTGTTGTCCTTGACGTCTCTGTTTTAAGCCTGTGTATCTTTCTAATTTTAGCTCTATGTTAGTCTGTTTTGTGCTGCTATAACGTAATATCAGAGACTGGGTAATTTATAAAGAGAGGTTTATCTCTAAAATTCTGGAGGCTGGAAGGTCAAGATTAAGGACGTGCGTCTGTTGTCAGCCTTCTTGCATTGTCATAATATGGTGGGAGGCATCATATGGATAAGAGGGAGGGGACAGAACTTATCCTTTTATAAGAAATCCACTTCTGCAAAAATGAACCACTCCTGCAATAACTGTACAGTGGTGCCTCAGTTTGTGAACTTAATTTGTCTTATGATTTTGGGGAAGAGGGCTGCACTTGTGTTTGTGTGGGGAAGGTGGCCATGGTTGTTTGTCACCCAATGCAGAGTTTGTGAACAGAAGCAAAATGTTGCCCAATGCTTTTCTTTGTGAACCTGTTTGTTTGCAAACAGAAGCATTCATGTATTACTATGTTAATGAATTCATGAGGGCAGAGCCCTTTATTACCTAATCAACTCATAAAGAGTCCACCTATCAATACTGTTGCACTGAGAATTAAGTTGCCCCACATGGACTTTGGGTATTTTGTTTTATATCTAATGTCCCCTCAAAGCCTCATGTGCTCATAATTGGGGCTTTTGTGAGGGGATTGGATCATGGGGGTAGATACTCATCAGTGGGTTAATCCGCTGAAGAATTTATAGCTAAATGTGATGTTGGGAGGTGAAGTCTGGTCTGAGGAGGTGGTCACTGGGGGTATGGCCTGGAAGGGTCTGTCTCCCTCCCTCTTCCTTCACATGTTCTCTGCCTCCTGCCTGCCATGCCATGGACTGCTTCTCCTCTGCCATGCCACCCTGCCTTGGAGCCAGCTGACTATGGACTGAAACCTCTACAAACTCTGAGCCAAAATAAATCTTTCCTCTTTAGGGCTGTGGGTGTCTGACATTGTGTCTCAGTGACGAAGAAGTAGCTAAGACATTGGGGAGCACATTTACCCTACAGCAAGCTCTATTAGACAAATTGGCTGGGACCAAAATCTGTTAATATCATAGGTAAAGAATTCATTGCTTTGCTGGTGTTAAGGTATGCATCGTCTCGTTATATATTGCTCTATAAATTTAACTTTTAATTTTTGTGATGCAGAGTTGGTGCACAAATAATTATTGAACACTTCATTGTGTGAAATTCTAGATCTATACCAGTGAACCTGTCAGATTTTTAGTTCTTCTTTTACAGAAGTTACAGTTAACAACACATACTTACTGATATAACAACTAATACTTAGGTAGTCCTTACATGTGACAGATGCTATTCTAAGTGTTTAATATACTCATTTTGTCCTTATAGTATCTCTATAGGAGATATTCCCACTTAATAGAAGAGGACACTGAGGTTCAGAGAGAAGATAATTTGCTCAAACTTACACAGCTAGTAGGAACTGCAACTTGAACCAGAGTGTCTGTCTCCATAGCTAGGACTTTCATTTTCTATGATCTTGCCATATTGCTTAAGGAACAGGGAGAGAATTTAAAATGGGTGAAAGGGTGTGTGTTAGTTACTTTTCTTGTTGCTGAGGAAAAATACCCAGCACCCACAAGTTAAAAGAGGAAATTTTATCTAGCTCACAGTTTGTAGAAGTTTCAGTCCATAGTCAGCTGGCTCTAAGGCAGGGTGGCATGGCAGAGAAGCATCACAGAGGAGATACCATTCATAGCAGTGCAGGTAGGAGTCAGCAAGCAACAGCAGCAGCAGCAAACCTGCCTTTCTCTTTTATTCCATCCAGGCTACAAGCCTTTTGGTTGGCTCCAGACACACCCAGAGAAGGACTTCTGTCTTCAGTAAATCCATTCAGCCATACCCAGAACTTTGCTAATTCTAATCAGTGGACAAATTTAGTATCACACCCCTTATCCCAGCATCACACACCCTATTTCCAGCCAGTTCCGAAAAGCCCCACCTATGACTGCATGAGGCTCGGAGGGGGGGATCTAGACACAAACTATAACAGCATGTCTGCTCAGCCATGACCTGACTCTCACCAAACCTCAGAACTGTTTGCTTTTGGAGGAAGGCAGGAGAATTTCCTAACATAAATGCCACTTTATTGTTTTGCTTTCCGATATTTCTAACTGACACGGCCAGCTCAACTCCTTTCCCTCCCTCCCTTGTCTAAGGGAATTAAATGTGTTATGCACATGTACCAACTCCCCATGATGAGTATAATCATTATGTGCTGCAAACCTATACTAATACAAATAAAAATTAAAAGAAGCAGATTTGGGGTTTAGGAAGTGTGTTGCATGTGTAGGAGACATGTATGAAATAGGATACATAGGAAGAGAGAATTTATCTTTCACTGCCTTTGTGAAGACAATAGCTTCCTAATTATTACTCATCTTTTTAATGAGTTAATTAACATAACACATGCTTTTATTGGATACACAGTCAGTGTTATTAAATATGCTATTGTAAGGAGCAGAGAAGGCAATATTAAACAAAGCATAATCCAAAAACTTGTTTCAGTACAATTCAGAATTATCAGAAACACAGTGCCCAAAGCAATCAATACACTCCCCTTGTGCCTGTCATGGGGATCAAACTCAGGACTGCGCTTGCCAGGCAGGCGCGGTGCCACTGAGCTACATCCCTGGCCCTCTCATCTGTCATCTTGATTCAACCAGAGGAGTGAAAGATACTGAGGAAGAGGCTTTGGATAACCCACATATGCCTAATTGTGAAAGGGTTGTAAATGTCACTCCATCCTGGCTTTCCATCTTTCTCATCACCGTGCATTCTCTGCTCCTTTCGCAGATTCTTCCTCCTTCACTTGCTCCTCACATGGTGGTATTCCCCAGGCTTGCTTCCTGTCTCTCTGATTTTCTCATTCCCACATAGTACTGGGGTGGAGGGATCGGCAGGGAAGGCTAATGTTTGGAACTTGGAGACAGGAAAGTATTGAAGAGTATCAAGTCCACACACCAGCCAAGGCAAAGCCACGGCCATGGCCTGACTACCTTGACCAGTATAGAAAGATGCAATGAACCACTCCTAGATTCAGTTTATTACTTACAAAGACAGCAGCTAAAAGAAGAGTAGCTAAAAGTGCCAGCTCCCAAGTTCTTGCCCTGCATGCTAAAAAGAATGACGCCAAAACAAAAGGGAATAGATGACTGTGGCAGGAGTTGTGGGATTCCCTGTTGCTGAGGAGCCAGTTCTAAAGGGAAGTGGTGTGGTTTTATGCTAGGCAGCTCCATTCTGAAGGGGCAGGGTGAAAAGCCCACACCTCCGCAAAACTCGGGGAAATGATGAAAACAGTCTTCCTGACAGCCTCCCAAAGGACATTGGGAGGGGAGTAAGAGACAGCGCTGGAACACCTCCTCACAGGGCTCCCGCTGGCTCCCCTTCCTGCAGATCCACAGGGCATTCTGCCAAAATGCAGATAAGCAGAGATCCAAGCCTTTGTTTGTGTGGCCTATGTGGATACACACAAGGCCACCAGGGAGCCACTGCTGAGCTGCTGCAGGGACTTTCGGAGCATTTAACCATTAGACAAATGCAATCAACTGTAAGGAAAATAAATATTAGCATCTGTTTAGGTTTGAAACTCTACCTTCCTAATGCCAAAGCAGCCTGTTGTAAAGGTTTATTTAAAATCCGCGTTCAAGGCAGTAGATTTGTCACATTTTTAAGAAGAACAAATAACCAATAGGGGTAATTTTTTAAAAATATGAACATGTAAATTTGATGGCTGCCATGAAATTCCATCTTAAATGATACCTCCTTCCCTGCCTTGCTTTCCGCCTCCAAGGGGTCTCTGTGGGAAACATCTTCATTATGCTAGGCACTGTGCTAGGGGTAGGCTGTATGATTAAAGGGACTGATGTTTATCACAGAATAAGACAATGGAGGACTTTCCAAAATGCTTGTCATTCTAGGGTTTGGAACAACTTTGGAACGTATCTCACAGAACCATAAAATGTGCATGGGCGTATGCTCTTAGTTTAAGAGAAACATAGTTTTAGAAATAAAGAAATCATTTAAGTTTTGCAAATGTACATGAAATTGGATTTTTAAGCCCTATGTCTATGCTCACATCATGTTTGACCATTTGGACTGAACTGATTGCTTTATTACAGTCTGGCTGAATTGACTGGTCGTTAACTGGTCGATCTAGTCAAAATGTCAAACTAGTAACGAGTTCGGAAAAAGCTTCCCTGTCAAAAGAGCACTGAAAGCTGCAACTGATTGCCTGTGCTCTTCCTCCAAGGTGACCTAGACAAAAGGATAGTGGGAACTAAGGGTCAGTATTGAAAGGGAGAAAAATACCGGCGGCTCATCATCTAAGAAGAAATGCTCAATACAAACTTGCATTGTGATGAACTAGACACTTCTATTGCCAAGTTGATTTTTTGGTACTTGAGCTATTTTTAATAACCAGTGGGTGTTGTATTGGAGCCATTGGCATGCTGCTTAGTTTAGCAGATTGGAGAACTCCTAGAAATGTTTAACTTGGAAGAATGCACAAACATTTTGCAAACAATGGTGTTTTGATGCCCGCACATCTGTGGCTCATTTCGACAGTATCTTAATGTATCAGCGCCACAGTCATTGACAGAGATCTTTCTCCCACCATGTAATGGGATCTTTTGGCTCGCTTTCCCGCTCTAGGAGTCCCAGCGATCACCGTGGCAGTCATACTCAGTGTGAGAAAAGATCTATATGGGACGCTGAGCCCAACAACTCTGTTGTAAGTAACAGCATCCCCGCTTCTCAGGCGGTGTGGCTCTGGTGGGGCTGGGTTTGGTGGAGTGTTCCTGGCCAGGGATTTGGTCCAGATACTGGTTTCAGGGAGAGCTCAGCCTCAGATTTTCTCCCTAAACACAGTCACTGCTACACTCAGGGAATGGATAGGTGTCTGGGCTCTCTCTAAACTTGGGCAAAGTATCTTACCTCTCAATCGTTATTTCTTCTTTTGGAAAATGGGCATAATAATGTTTGCTCTTGATGTCATGAGCAAATTAAAATGATATCATGTATATAAAGTGTTTGGTCTGTTGCCTTGTCCATGGCAAATGTTATGTTACTGGAGGCCATTAATGTTACAAATCTCAAAGAGACCATTAGAACAGTTGGTGAGCAATATAAGGAAATACTGAGATAAACTGGAAAACATTTTCTACTTCTTTTTTTTTGGCACCGGGGATCGAACTCCGGTCATTGCACTTGCGAGGCAGGCGGCAGAACCACTGAGCTAAATCCCCGGCCACATTTTCTACATTTTTAACAACCAAGGTCTTCCCTGAATAAGATTGCAAAACCTTCTTTTGTAAACTGGCTCAGTTTCGTTTCCCTTCCTTCCCTCCCTCCCTCCTTTCTTTCCTTCCTTCCTCCTTTCCTCCCTTTTTCCGTTCCTTTCCTTCCTCCATATCTTTTCAATTGAGGTGTAAGCCCATCTCTTTGGCTTTCAAGCACAGCCACTGGAGTAGCCATTCACTCCACCCCATCTCTTTTGAACCTTCTTTTACAGCCATGTACGTGGTTACATTGTGGTCCTTTCCGTGGTGCAATCTCGTTTCACACTTACTTACCCATAGCCTTTCTCTTTAGCGTTGCCTCAAGAGCTCACACCCTCTATGGTTTGCCTCTCCAACCGGACTGGGGTCAAATGTGGGAGGTCCTGCTCCCAGGCTCCTCTCTCTTTCATATTAAGATGACAGCTTCCAGAGGGTCAGAATTATATTGCCCTTTGCAGCAGATGCTTTCTAATTAAAATTCCTTGTTCTCCTTCCTCTCCCTTCCCTTCTCATCTTCCCCTCTGTCCTCCCTCTTTGCCTGTTTTGTGACTCAAATGGTCCCACTATCTAACGGTGATTCTTCTGCAGTGATCAAATACGGAAGTAAAACCAGAACAAAATCAACTCCATTCTCCCCTAAAAGAGCCTTTTCACCTGTGAATTTGTTAGTAAGAAACAGATGGCTCTAAGGGTTTTGTTTTTTAAATAATCATGTTTGGAAAGGTAATTCACTGCGTGATACAAAATGCAAATGTACAAAAGAGCAAAATAAAAAGTAAGCCCCACCCTAGCCCTCAGCTAGTTAGTTTCTCTTCTTTGAGGTACCTCTTATAGGCAATAATCAAATTTGTACAGATAATCTCTTATGTGCTTGTTTTAAAATTATTTTTAATTGCATATAGTAACTACACATATTTATTTGGTACACTGAGATGGTTTGATATATGGATACATCATGTAATAATCAAATCAGAGTATTTGGCATATCCATCACCTCTAACATTTGTCATTTCTTTGTGGTGAGACCATTCAAAATCCTTTTTTTCTAGCTAGTTTAAAATATACATTGTTATCTATAGTCACCCTACTGTGCATTAGAACTTCAGAACTTACTCCTCCGGTCTGTAACTGTGTACCCATTTACTAGCTTCTCCCCACCTCTCCCTCCACAGCACTCCCCCCCACCTCTGATAACTACTGTTCTACTCTCTGCTTCTACAAGATCAACTTTTAAGTTGATCTTTGAGATGACTTTCTAGCCAAGCATAGAGTGCTGCTCCATTTTAAAATATTTTGTAGCTGGGTGTGGTGGTGCACATCTGTAAATGCAGCTACTACAGAGGCTGAGGCAGGAGGATAGCAAGTTCCTGCACAGCCTGCACAATTTAGCAACTTAGTGAGAACCTATCTCAAAATAGAAAAGGGGGGCTGGGCATAAAGTTCAGTGTGAAGGCTTTGAGGCCTTGGGGCGGGGAGGGAAGGAGAGAGAGAGAGAGGGAGGGAGGGAGGGAGAGAGAGGGGAAGGGGTGGGGAGGGAAGAGGAGGGGAAGAAAGGGAAAAGAAAGAATTCTGCAGCTTTCTTTAAGGCTAAAGATGATATTCAGAAAACCGTAAGTATTGTACTCCATTAAGAAATTTTTCACATCCTTCCATCTCTCTCTCTCTCTCTCTCTCTGACACACACACACACACATGTACACACACATGCATGTATGTATGTACACACACACACACACACAGACATGAAACTATCCACATCAATATCATGCCCCAAAGGTATTTTCCTGCTGTTAGAAAAGAGGTCTTAGCTAAGTCGACACACAGTTGAATTAGTCGCTTGTGTGTTTTGAAAAACCAGAGACAATGCCTTCCATAATTGGAAATGTTATTAAGTGAAGTATCTGTTCATATGAACCCTGTATATTTCTTCTTTAATAGAAAATGTAGAGACATTAATCAATCCCGTGGCTAGGTTGCCTTTTGTAACCCAAATACCTCACATTTTAAAGCAGTACAACTAGAGCTGTCCTCTTTTTGTTGCATTTTCATTAACTCTGATCATCTCATCATTGTTTGATATAGCATTCAGAAAAGCTATTCATTGCTTTTCTCCTTGGACTGTGATATTCATTATGCAACACAGAATTCATCCTGCAAATATGAGCTCAGGTGTAAGGTGGGGGGAGGAGAGCCACTTTGGGGGAAAATGCATAATTTGCTTTTCTGTTGTTGAGGAACGCAATCGTTTCCTAGGGAATTAGACTGAGAGGTTTCTGCATATGTAGAGCAGAAATATCCTCCAGGATTTGTAAGTTGGCACCTGGAAATGCCCTGATATGGGGCTCAGGAGTTTGGAGTTCTAGTCCCAGCTCTGCCTCCAGTGGGTGTGAATGAGCTCTGTCAAGTTGGTTCATCTCTCTGGATCGAGGTGTCTTTGGGTTAAATGAAACTGACTAGCTCATCCTCAGAGTCTGTAAAATAGGAGTTTTGTTTCCCTGCTTCACAATAGTCTTTTCTTCTTTCTTTCTTACAGTTGTTGGATTAAGGATGATTCTGTCTTTTACATCTCGGTAGTGGCTTATTTTTGCCTCATATTTTTTGTGAATCTCTCCATGTTCTGCATTGTTCTTGCTCAACTGAATTCCATGAAATCCCAAAGGCAGAAGACTCGGCGGAAGATGATCCTACGTGACCTCAAAGGCACACTAAGCCTGACATTCTTACTTGGCCTCACCTGGGGGTTTGCCTTTTTTGCCTGGGGACCTGTGAGGATCTTTTTCTTGTATCTTTTTGCCATTTGCAATACTTTGCAAGGTAACCACTGTTTTTTTGACCTTTCTGTGGGTAGCTAGATGTCTAGCAAAGCTGTCACTGCTTTGTAAAATAATGTCATGTATCAGAGACACGAAGGGAGAGAAAATACTACAGGAGGCCTCTGCTCACAATGACTTGACAAGGAACCATTGGAAATATTAGCTAGATATTATCCCTCTGAATGAATACCCAGCCCACTCTCTTCCTCAGGGATGTAAGTAGCAGCCCTGGTGAGGTAACCTAACTTTATCTAGTTGGCAACATCTGTATCACACATGGATTGGCAATCCTTCTTACGTATTCCTTGCATCAACACATTGTACTTGTCAATGTATAGATTCACACTTGTATTGACATTTTAAAGTTCATAATCTGGTTGAACATAGCAATTACTGCACTGTACAAACATTAAACTTTTAGTCCCCAAAACTCTATTTACATCATACATCTTAATATCTGGGGAAAGATCCAGGCTAGGAAATTGTAGAGCCATACAGGAATGACGGCTAAGAGCAGAGTTATGGGCCAAGGGAATAGGCCAATGTTCTAGTCTTGGTTTTGCTATAAATCCCATTAGGAAATTCACCACAGCTGATTGAATTGGATGATCCCAAGCTAAGGACTCTATAGCTTTTTATGTCTTTCTTATATTCTGGGAAAAGGAACAAATCATCAATAAAATGATTAAATTAATTAGACAAAAGATGGCATAGAAACTGGTTAATATACCTCTGAGTATTTATTGATGTTCATTTTAATCAGGTTTTTCTTGTTAAGAAATCTTGATGGGGAGAATAATTTTATGGGAATCTAAAACTCCATTCCATGTTTTTATCCTCAATTTTGACCTAGTCCATTTGGGCCAATGGGGCAGGTAGGGAGTCAACTTGGCATTCCTTTGAGTTAAGGTCTCCTTTTCTGCTCTCTATATTTTTTCATTCAATAACTTCTCTTTTCCAAAATGCAGTCCACTGGTGTTTCCATGAATGCTCCAGCAAGAAAAGTTCACTATGGTCAAAGAAGGTGGGGAAATATGGCCAACCGTATTTCCTCATTCTCAGAAATATATATTCTCATAGAAAAAATTCTCAAAACTATTGGGAAAATATTTAAAGTTTTATTTACCCTAGCATTTAAAAAACTTCTGGACCTTTTATTATTGTGGTTGTTAACCTCCAAGAAACCTTTGGAAATATGAATTGGGTGTGTAGTTATTATGTGCTAGGCACATGCAAACCCGTGCAGGCATGAGACAGGTAGAAATGTGGTAGAAAGCATAATTTTGTGCTCATGTCTTAAGAAACCATCTTACTTTATAGTAGTAAAGTGAATCAAATGGGATTTTGTGCCCCACCAGATTCTGCCAACCTTATATAGTAGTTCCCTACTCTCTTACCTGGAGCTTCACTTTGCATAGTTTTAGCTACATCTGGTCAACCATGGCTTGAAAATATTAAATGGAAAACCCCAGAAGTAAACTATTTACAACCTTTAAACAACTTTGTTATAGTATATTGTCATATTTTCTATTTTATTATTAGTTATGTTAATTTCTTGCTGTATCTAATTTATAAATTTAACTTTATCACAGGTCTGCATGTACAGGAAAAAACATATTCTATGTAGGGTTTGGTACTCTCTGGCCTTCTCTGGGGGTCTCAGAATTCATTCCCCTTGGATAAGGGGGAATACTATACAGACATGTATTGCCTGGGATGTGTAAAGACACAAAATATGCTATTCATCCTCCATGTGCCATTTTCATCATGTCTGGTAATATAGATGGACTTTTTAGGAGCTCTCCACACCACTATCCCTTGGTACCCTTTGAGGCTACCGTCCTTTGGCTATAATCTACAATGCTGACTGCAGCCCTAGTGATGGTCCTCCACTTTCATTCTCAACAAAACCACTTGGCCCACACTGAGGTACTCGCACTCCGATCTCTCCCATGATGCTGTAACCTCAAGAACTAGTCAGTCTTGCTGTGGAATGTCCACAGAAGTAGTTTAGGAATCAGACACCTGTACAGACTTCTTTCTCGGTGCTAACTCCAGGCTTCTCTTTGGCACACTAATGTGAGGAGAAATACGTTAACTCTATCCAAAGAGGAGTTAAAAGAAAGCTGACAAAAGAACAAGAAAGCAAAGCAGTCTTGAACTTGAAAAGGGTAGAGGTGTTTTCAGAACAAGTACTCCATTCCTATGGTGGAAGGGGAACTCATTATCTAAGTAGGAAGCCTACATGGGTAGAACCAGAATGTAATTGGCTGTGTTCTTAAAGACTAAAACTGAAGTTCCATAGATCCAGCATCAATAGAGACAAGCTGTCTCTGTCAGAAATGCTGTGTCAATCAAGCACCAAGCATTCCCAGTGCTGTCTACAAGATGGAATGTGCCATGTTGTAGCAAGGACATTTTCAGAGCCCTATTTTCAAACTCAAATTTTAAACACATACACACACACACACACACACACACACACACACACACGCACACTAAATAACCCCAAAACAAGAATGCAATGTAACAAGTGAACTATTAAATGACAAATCGACAAGTTTGCGGTTCAGCACAAAGGGGGCTGCCCTGTGGTCAAGTGGGACAAAATTACACCCATGATGCACCATTTGTGAAGGAAGGGTATACAAATAAAAATGCAGGTGACAAAAACCTGACATCTTCCTTCATGCTTCTGTTCTAGTGAGTAAGTAGATCAATCTGTTATTGGAAAGAAAAAGGAAGGCTGTCAGGAGGCGAGGAAGGGCTGGCAGGCAGCTCATTGGAATTCACAGAATAACCTTTAAGTCTGAGAAGTAACTAAACTCCATGCAAGAAATGGGAACAGCAATAAGTGCTTGATATCATTGTTATCCCTGGTTTGTGCTGGATCTAGAGGAGTTTTACCTGCTCTGAGACTGGGACTTGTGCCCCTCGGGTTACTATACCACCTTCCAGGCGGCTGCTGCCAAGAAAGAGTGAACACTGCTGGATTCTCACAGTTGTTTGGTTACACACGTGGGTGAAGCCCTCCGGAGAATTACTGGAACGTGCTTTTTTTTTTTAGCCACCTGACTGCTGCTTCTCACCTGAAGTCAGAATCTCATGGCTGGGACCAGGGAACCAAGATCTCCCCTAAGCAACTCCCCACTCATCAGGTGACAGGCAGTCACTTGCCTATGCCCGAAACTTTCCAGGAACAGGATGCTTACCATTCTGCAAAGCAAGAATTTAACTTCTAGTCAGCTCTGATTCTTATACCAGTCTTCCTTACCTGATAGTAAGACTGTACTATGGTTAAGATCTTAGGCTCTATAGCCAGCTGACTGTGCTCAATCCTGGTGCTGCCGGCTCAATATTAGCTCTGCGACCTTGGTTGAGTTTACTAGACTTTTTGGACTCTGAGGTTTCTCATCTATAAACATGAGATTAATACACAATGCCTATCAGGAATCATTGCATAGTCATTGCTAGCTGTGATTTGTTACTACACAGTTGTTCAGTAGCTTCTCCCCATTGCTTCTGATTCTAACCTGGCAACCATACAGAAAAGGAGTATTTTGTCCTTTTCATGACAACTCTTTCAGATCTGTGACTAATGCTACCACCTCTCCTCACTGAATATTTCTTATTCCAAGTTTTCTCTTATCCAGCTACAACATCCCAGTTTTCTGTCAAGTTCATTGCTATCCTTATTTTCTCTGTTCTTCAATACTTCTGTTTGTCATCATTCTTTTAAAACAAAGCCACCCAAAATGAACTTGTGAAAGGTATGGTCAAACCAGGGAAGATAGCAAGAGACTCTCACACAACTCAGTCAAGATTCTCTATTCCCATTAAGGCCATAGCTGAAATTAGCTTTAAAGGCATTTACTATTTTGACTTGTGCTCAATTTGCAATGAGTTAAGATCATTCTGCTACTAATCATTTATTTGTTCTACAGGACAACTTGCCAATGTAGAGGCTGAACCTTGTATAGGGAACAAAGGTTCCTAAGCTGCATTTGGGCCAGGATATTCATTATGAGGTTGATGCAGGTATTTCTAAGGTTGTAGGAGACTATGAGAGTTTATGCATCAAGTGTCCTGGAGTTCAAGTCAATAACCACCTATTGAGCTGCCATACATAATACTGGAGACAAAGGGAAAGTTGATATAAAGATGAAAAGAAAACTTAGGTCAGCTTTTCAAAGATTTTGACAGATGGGTAGTGAGATGGGCAATACATAGAGAATTATATGGCTAAATATGGCAAATATTATGAGAAACAAATATGTGAATTCAGAAGTGGGAAAATGAGTTTCAGTGTGAGGCATTTGTAGGGCTTTATGGGTAAAGTCTTTTCACGTGGACTATAAATACAAGTCAGATTATCAACAGGAGTTATTTCTGCCAATTCTACCCTTAACTTGTGAAAATCCAATTGGTCCTCCAGGGAACCTGCAATCAGAATCATCATGAGTCCTACTGTTAACTCCCAGGGATATATATCTAGATGACTGGGAGGAAAAAATGGCCCATATTGCTGATAGATACCTTTAGCACCCAATCTCATCCCTGTTCAGGATAAAATCAGGGCTGGCAGTGGAAACTGATGGCACCAGGTACATAATTTTCACATAATAGAATTGTGCTAATGATCATTGGCATTAGTTATTTATGGCTCTATAACAATTACTAGCACATTTACCAGCTTAAAACAACATACACTTCCTGTCTCACACAGTGTCTGAGGGTAAGTAATTGAGGAGCTGCTTAGCTGGGCGTTTGTGAATTAGAGACTCACATAAAGTGGAGTCTAGCTGTTGGCTAGGTCCCCGTCATCTGAAGACTTGGGTGGGCTTGGAGGATCTTTTTCCAGGCTTCTACTGGAAGCCTCAATTCTTCACTATGTAGGCCTCCTGAAGAAAAAAATGCTTGAATGAGTAATGAGGCGGGGGGGGGGGGTTTCAATATCTTTTCTTGTTTGTTCGTATCGGGGATCGAACTCGGGATCTTGCACTTGCAAGGCAGGTGCTGGAACCACTGAGCTAAATCCCTGGCCCTCAATGTCTTTTATAACTTAATCTTAGAAGAGACATGCCACAACTTCTGTCACATTCTATTGGTACAATGTGAAAGGAGACAGCACAAGGGTATGAATGATCCTGGAGGATTACCATTGCAGCCCTTATTTGTCATGCTCTAGGATAGACAGGAGTGAAAACAGTAGTGGCCATGAAGTTTTGACACAGACCTCTTTGCTATCACTGCCTTCGGGAGGCTAGAAAGACCCTGCGGTTCCTTGGAAGTGGTATTTATGGCGACAAGAGCAGGCCTGCATCTGGGCATTGGGTGACAGCTGATGAAAGAACTCAAAAAGACTGACTTCCTTCTCCTGGCTTAGGATTCCTCATTTTTGTGTTTTACTGCGTGATGAAGGAGAGTGTGCGGGAGCAGTGGCACATACACCTCCGTTGTGGGTGGTTGCACCTGGATAACTTTTCTGGTAAGTGTGGGTAAGGTTTTGAATTTTACACATTATACAAAGCTGACCAGATTCACCTATCTGAGTTTATACAGCATCAGTATCAATGTATAGTCTGTTTCTAGGCCGTGGAAATGATTTGTGCTTTTGTGCCAAGGTGAATAAAGTTAAATGAAGAATGACTTGGGCTATATTTGAACCTAGTGGAGCTTTTATTTTGGCCCAAATTCCTTGGATAGCTTGTTTTCTTTGTTTTTTAAAATTTTATTTTAGTTTATTAGTATATGTGTATAGTACATACTATTTACATTCCTCCTGGGAAATTGGCAGATGTACATAACACATCTTAATTATTTTTCCTCTGCTTTTCCTTCCCTCTCTACCCCCTCCAGCCATCTCTTGGTCCCTTTCCTTTTTTTGTACATGTTTGCAGTACATAATGTTTACCTTCCACATGTGGAGTACACAACACATCCCAATGCCTTTTTTTATCCCCTAACACTACCTTCCTTCCCTGCTCCTTCCATCTCTTTCACCTTCCCGTTTGAGAAAGATCTCTCTCCCTATTTCCTCTTATCTATCTTTTATTTTGCTCTTTAATTTTTACTCCGAGTCTCTCATATAAGAGAAACCAAGTGATGTTTAAGCTTGTGTGTCTGATTTATTTCACTTAACATTATGATCTCAAGGTGCATCCAGTTTCCTACAGATGATGCAAGTTTATCCTTCTGCATAGCACAGTAGTACTTCTCTGTATGTAAATACCACATTTTCTTTATCCATTCATCTGCTAATGGAAATATAGGCTGGTTCCAAGATTTAGTTATTATGAATCGTGCTGCTATAAACATGGGTATGCATGTATCACTGTAATGTGATGCCTTTAAATCTTTTGGGAAGATACCTAAAAAGGGAATAGCTGAGCCAAATGGAATTTCTAGTTTCCAATTTTAGAGGACTCTCCATACTGATTTCCACAGTGGTTGCATTGGTTTACCTTCCCACTAATAGTGTAGAAGGGTTCCTTTTTTCCTGCAGCCTCACCAGCATTTGTTATTATTTGATTTCTTGATGATGACCATTCTTTCTGGGGTAAGGTGGAATCTCAGTGTTGTTCTAATTTGAATTTCTCTAATGGTCAACAATGTTGAGAATTTCTTCATATATTTATTGGCCATTTGTGCTTCCTCTTCTGTGAAGTATCTAATCGTTTCACATGCCCATTTTTTGATTGGGTCATTTATTTGAGGAGGTCACATTTTTGAGGTCCTTATAGATTCTGGATATGAGTCTTCTGTTTGAGGATTCTCTGGCAAATGTTTTTAATGTTCTGTTGCTCGTCTTTTCATTCTGTTGGTTGATTCTTTTGCTGTACAGAAGCTGTTTTTTAGAAGCTTTTTAATTTGATATGATCCCATTTGTTTATTCTCAGTACTATTTCCTGTGCAACTGAGGTTCTGTTCAGAAAGTCCGCCTATACCTATAACTTCAAGAGTTTTACCTGTTTTGTCTACCATCAGATTAAGTGTTTCTGGTTTAACATTTAGTTTTTTGAACTATTTTGATTTTAGTTTAATACACGTTGAGTGATATGGGTCTAGATTCAATCTTCTGCCTGTGGACAGCCAGTTGTCCCAGCACCATGTATTAAAGAGGCTCTCTTTCCTCCAGTGTGTGTTTTGGCCCCTTTGTCAAAGATCAAATAGTGGAATGTACTTGCAGTTGTTTCTGAATCTTCCATGCTGTTCCATTGATCCTCATGTCTGTTTTTGTTCCAATACCATCCTGTTTTTATCACAGTACCTTTGTAATATAATTTCAGGTTCAGTATGGGGATGCCTCCTGCTTTGCTCTTTTTACCCAGAATTGCTTTGGATATTTTCGATTTCTTTTGATTCTATATGAATTTTAGGTTTGTTTTCTCCAGTTCTGTGAGGAATGCTGTTGAAGTTTTGATTGAAGTTGAATGAATTAAATCTGTATAATAGTTTTGGAAGTATAGCCATTTTAGCTATATGGGTTCTGCCTATCCTGGAACAGGAACTATCTTTCCATTTTCGGATGACCTCTTTAATTTCCTTTATTCAGAGTACTATAATTTTCATTGTAGAGGTCTTTCACTTCCTTAGGTTAATTCCTAAGTATGTAATTTGTTTTGGTGCTGTCATAAATGGTATTTTTTCCTAATTTCTTTCTCAGTGGGTTCATTTTTAGTGTGCAGGAACGCTATTGGTTTTTGTGTGTTGCTTTTGTATCCTGCTACATCACTGAATTTGGTTATTAATTCTAAGAGTCTTTTGGTGGATTTTTTTTGGATCTTCTATGTAGAGGATCATGTCATCTGTCAATAATGATAATTTGAACTTCTTCCTTTCCTATCATATCACTTTTATTTCTTTTTCTTGTCTAATTGCTCTTGTAAAATTTTTTTTTTTTGGTACAGGGGATTGAACTCAGGACCTTGCACATGTGAGGCAGGCGCGGTGCTGCTGAGCTAAATCCCTGACTCTCTTGTTAATATTTTGAGTACTCTGATGAACAGGAGTGGTGATAGTGGACATCCTTGTCTTGTTCCTGACTTTAGAGGGAAAGCTTTCAGTTTCTCCCCATTTAATACAATGTTGGCAGTAGGTTTGCCCAAAATGGCTTTTATCAGATTGGAATAAGATCCTTCTATATTTATTTTCTTCAGTGTTTCTGACATGAAAGAATGTCAGATTTTGTCGAAGGCCTTTTCTGTGTCTATTGAGATGATTGTGTAATTTTTGTCCTTTTGTTTATATGATATATAACATTTATTGATTTGCATATGTTGAACCATCCCTGCATCCCTCCTGAGATGAAGCCTACTTGGCCATGGTGTATGATCTTTTTGATGATGCACTGCATTCTGTTTACCAGTATCTTGTTGAGGATTTTTGCATCTATATTCACTAAAGAGATTGGTCTATAGTTCTCTTTTCTGATTGGAGCCTTATCTGATTTGGAATCAGTTTAATGGTAGCTTCCAGGCATGACTTTGGGAGTAGGCCTTTCCTTTCAGTTGCATTAAAGAGCTTGAGGAGCATTGGTATTAGAACTCAGCAGTGAACCTCTCCAGACCTGGGCTTTTCTTAGTTGGTAGGTTATTTATTGCTACTTCAACTTAATTGATTATTATTGGATTATTCAGGGTTTCAAAATCTTCTTGGTTCAGTTTTGGTAATTTATATGTATCTAGGAATCTATCCATTTCTTCTAACTTCTCCAATTCATTGACATACAGGTTTACAAAATAGTTGTTAATAATTTTTTTTTTCCTTTGGTACCTGGGATTGAACTCCGGTCCTTGTTCTTGCAAGGCAGGCGCTGGAACCACTGAGCTAAATCCCCGGCCCAATAATGTTTTTTATTTCAGTAGACTCTGCTGTGATTTCTCCTTTTACATACCTAATTGCATTTGTATGGGTCTTTTCTCTCCTTTTTTGGTTAAATTGTCTAAGAGTTTGTCCATTTTGTTTAGTTTTTTCAAAGAACCAACTCTTAGATTCATTAATTCTTTGTATTTTTTGTCTCAATTTTATTGATTTTTGCTCTGCTTTTAAAAATTTCCTTCCTTACACTAGCTTTGGGTTTGGATTATTCTTGCTTTTTGGGACCTTGAAGTGCATTGTTAGGTTATTTATTTGGGCTTGCTTTGTTTTTGTGATGTGGGCATTTGCAGCTATAAATTTCCCTCTTGGGACCGCTTTCCTTGTGTCCCATAAGTTCTGCTATGTTGCATTGGCATTGCCATTTAGTTCCAGAAACTGTCTTATTTCTTCCTTGATTTTTTCTGTAACCAATTGTTTAGTTAATATATTGTTTAGTTTTTATGCATTTTCATAATTTCTGTTTTCTTTTGTTCTTGATTTGTAATTTCATTGTAATATAGCCTGATAACATGTATGATATAATTTCAGTTCATTTATATTTACTTGAGTTTGATTTATTGGCTAGTATGTGGTCTATTTTGGAGAAAGTTCAATGTACAGCTGAGAAAAATATGTATTCTTTTGTTGTTGGATGGAACACTGTATATATCTATTAAGTCCATTTTTGAAGGTTTTCTTCAATTCTGATATTACTTTGTTGATTTTTTTTCTCTAATAGATGTGTTTGTTTTTGATAGTGGGGTATTGAGGGCTCCCACTATAATTGTGTTTATGTTTATCTGATATTTTATGTCTAGTAGCACTTGTTTTATGAAGTTGGGTGGACCTTTATTTGGTGCATATTTGTTAATAATTGCTACGTCTTCCTGTTAGATCCCTTAACCAACGTATAGTGACCTTCACTGCCTCTTATGATCAATTTTGGCTTGAAGTCTACTATGTCTGAATATAAAATAGCCACACATGCTTTTTTATCTGGTTTCTATTGCATATAGTATTGTTTTCCATCCTTTGATTTATAGTCTATGAGATTCTTTTTGGGTCAAATGTGTTTCTTTTATATAGCATACCATTGGATTTTGTTTCTTGATTCATTTTGCCTGTCTGTTTTTTGATTGGGAAATTGAAATCATGCATATTGAGAGTTATTACTGATAGCTATTACCTATTCCTATACTTGCCTTAATTTTCTGTTGTTGATTTCCTTGTCTTTCCCTTCTACTTAACTGCTCACCCTAACTGGTTTTATTCATTCTATTAGATCTTTTGTCATTTTACTTTCATTGTTTCTTTCTAGGGTATCCATGAGAATTTTTTGGAGTGCTGGCTGGGTGGTCATGAATTTCTTTTGTGCTCTTTATCATGAAAGTATCTTATTTCTCCATCAATTTCAACAGAAAGTTTTGTAGAATAAGTTCCCCCGAATTAGAAATTGTTTTCTTTTAGGGCTTGAGACACTTCACTGTAGGCCCTTCTTGCCTTTGAGTTTTGTGTTGAGAAGTCCGCTGTAATTCTAATGGGTTTTCCTTTATAAGCAATCCATTGCTTTTCTCCAATCACTTTTTTGTTGTTGTTAAATTCTTTTATTGGTACATTTTAGGTATACAACACAATTACATCTCTCATTGGGAATAGTACCTTTACATAATGCATCTTGGTTCTTATTTTTTCCCCATTCCTAGCCCTCCCTTCACCCCTCCACCCTTCCCTATTTACAAAGACTTTATTTCCATTTTTTCCATTTCTCATCATTTTTCCTTTCCCTTCTTTCCTTTCCCCTGCCCCTCCCACTACCCCTACCCCTTTGGACCTTTTCTTCCTATTTTGCATTATCGATTATTCATTCTAATCATTGGTACATTTTAGGTATACAATATAATGACATTCATCATTGGAAATTTGCACCTTTACATAATTTCTCTTGGTTCTTATTTTTCACCCTTGCCCAGCCCTCCCTTCAACCCCTCCAGTCCTCCCTATTTACAAAGATTTTGTTCCTATTTTTCCATTTTCTCATATTAATCCCATTCCCTTCTATCCTTTCCTCTAGCCCTCCCACTTCCTTCCCCTTTGCCCCTTTTCTTCCTATTTCACATTACCTATTATACATTTTAGTCCTTATTTACACTTTCAGTTTCTCACACCAGAGAAACTATTCGGTATTTGTACATGTGTGTCCTATTTATTTCACTTAAGAGTATTGCTTCAATGTGCATCCACTTAGCTATAACCACTTTTAAGATTCTGTTTTTGTGTTGCACTTCTGGAATTTTGACTATAATGTGTTGTGGAGAGGTTCTTTTCTGATTGTTGCTATTTGGGTTTTATATGCCTCACTTATCTATATGTTAAATTCTTTTATTTGAAAAATTTTTGTCTATTACTTCAGTAAACAGGTATTTTATACCATTTGTGCTATCTTCTCATTTTTCACTGATTCCAATTAATCTTAGATTAGTCTTCTTGGCATCATCTAGGACCAATTGGATCCATTTTTCATGTTCTCTTGTTTTGAAGGTATCTCTCATTAATTTGTCATTGAACACAGTCCTGTCTTAGGTTCTGAGACTCTGTTTTTACATTGGTCAACTGTGCTGCCTAAACTTTCAATAGAATTTTTAATCTCCTGAATTTCTATTTGGAGTCCTTTTATGGACTCTAAATATTTTCTATGTGGATCATACATGTTTTGCATAATTTTGCTTAGCTCTTCTATCTTTTTATTAGTGTAATATTTAGACTCACTGATGATTTTGTTTACTTGGCCAAATATCTTTTTTTGTGTGTGCTGGGGATCGAACTCGGGTCCTTGTGCTTGCGGGGCAGGCTGTGGAACCACTGAGCTAAATCCCCAGCCCTTGGCCAAATATCTTATTAGGTATATCTTCTGTAAGCTTTTCAACTGCCTTATTGAACTGTTTTGTTATCTTTCTTGGTACCATTTCCAATAATTCAGGTGTGAGGCTTTTGACTTTCTCCCTTTCAATGCTCCATGAGTCAGCTTTGGGGCAGTTGGGAGTTTCTGGAGGAATTTTGTTGGCTTGTCTTCTAAAGCTGCTATTTTTGTTTGTTTGTTTTGTATTGAAGCTTGTGAGCTTATTGTAGCGGAAAGTTTTCTTTCTAGAGGGGAGACATCTTTAGTTAATGTCTACTTTTCAGTGATGTGCTCTGGGCATGGCTAACAGCTGGCCTTTGCCTCTGTCCCGGGATCCAACCCCATCCTTTTATTACTTCAAATGGGAGGTTGCACTGTGCTTGGCTCAGTACCCTGTTCGAAAGGCATGGGCTATAGTATTGTTAATGACCTCAAGGAGATCTAGATATTTGGATCTCAAGAAAACCAATTAACAGCAGCAGCTATGTCTCCTTGGCTATAGTAATAAAAGCAGTATCAATTATAGCATTAATATAAACTGAACATTGACAAATCCAAAGGGCTGATAAAGTACCACCCCTGTCTACAAAAGAGATCTATTATAATATGAAGACCAAGACAGGTCAAATATTGAATTATAGTAAATATCTACTAAGTGGAACAACTTTACCTCTACTAACAATAAGATAGTATTCAACAGCAATAGCATAAAGTTAACTATTTATCTAGAGATATATAAAGCTTAATAGTTATACTAGTAAAAGTGGAAAGTATAGGGAACTGGAGAATGGAAAAAGCAAAATTTGAAAATTTAATTGATGGGGTATGCAAATGAGGACAGAAAAGTAAGATATAGTGTCCTCTTGAGGAGTAGAAGGAAATTAATGATAGAGAATGGTCATTGGAAAGAATAAACAAAAACAATAAGAAAAACCATAAAGAGAAAAAACAGACAATAGAAAAATAAGAAAGGGAAAAATATTGGAAGTGGGAAATACAATAGGCAAAAAAAGAATGTAAGTGGATGAAAAACCTCAAACTCCAAAAAAGCCAATGAAACAAAGATAAAAATAATACAAAATAGAAAAATCAAAAAAAGATTTAGTCAAAGAAAAAATTTCTATGTTATTGAATGAGTGGTTTCGTTCCATGATATGCAGTGTTGGGATCCAGCCAGGCGTGATTTTCTTTGCCTAGCTTTGAGGCCTAGAGTTCTTTGAGATGCACCCCTTGCAATAGAGGTCCCTCCTTATGTTTCACCCAGACTGTGGTAACTGTTCAAGCCAAGATATCTCCTTGCTCCTATTGGAAGATGGATGGAGAACATGATCATCCCCCTGTTTTCTGCTCGATGTAGGTCTCAAGGTAGGGGTTTGAGTGGGCTGTTGGACTTTCTGTAGACAGTCGTGAGGTCTGGTTGCTCCCTTCTCTCCCCAGGTGTTGTTCTCGATCAGGATCAAGTTGGTTGGTTTGTCTTTCCCTCTGCTGCTCCTTGCCATGCTCCCCTGTGGTCCAGGTGCCACTCCTCTGGCATGGGGCACTGCTCCACTAGCATGGGTCTGCTCTCTCACATGGGGATGGGACCAGATAGATTTTTTTCCCGTGTCACCTCACCTTTGATTCAATCAAAAGAACATTGATTGATTCCCTACTGTGTTTCAGGCTCTGGGTCTCAGAGACATCTGGCCAGTAGCCAATAGTAGGTTGAGTCAATGTGAAAAGCAAGGAGTGGTGGAGGCCATGGAGAGAACACACCAGCATTCCTAAGTTGTCTGGCTGGTATACAGTCTGGACAGCCCTACTGATGGCCCTCTCTGCAAAGTGGATGATTTAGTGAACTCTAATGGTACCTCTTAACACTGGTGCTTCCCTTGAGAAGGTCTTCAATATCAAACAGTTCATCCATCCAATTCAGGCACCTTTACTCAGTTTCAATACAAAGCCCAGTCTGTTTCCTTTAAGGAAAGGCAGTGTTTCAACTACAAGAGTCTGTAAGTAGTACCAAGGTTCCCCTCCTTTATGCTGGGTATATCAGTAACATGCTGGTCTTTATACTGTAGTGAAAGCAGGTATCCTTGGGAAGGGCACTGGCTATTCCTGGACCACATATGACAGGCCAAACTTACCTCTCATGACTTCGCAGAAGGTGACTCCCAGAATGAACTAACTCTGCACATTGAGCTTGATATTTTTAACAAGATTATTGAAGCATAATTTACATATCATAAAGTTCACTCATTTTAAGTATAGAATTTGATGAGTTTTGTATTTGTAACATTTTTGGTGTCATTTCAGATGGGAGCAACAGATGTGGGATAAATGTTGGGTATAAACAAGAGCAACTGAAGAAGACCTTTGAGCACAAATTGTTGACGCCATCCCTCCAGTCAACTGCAACTAGCTCCACTCTCAAATCTTTAGGCTCTGGACAAGGCACTCCTTCAGAAATAAGCTTCTGAAATGGTGAGAAAAAAATGTTGTGTTGCCTACACTTACAAGGCAGAGATACTGAATTAATGTGAACAATACCTCCCTCTCAAAACCAAATGCACTTGTGTACACACAAACACACCAGTGCCTGCACACACACATCTAGGCTCATTCTTGTCTGAGCTATTATTAATTATCTTTGGTTGGCTTTCTTTATTTTAAAATCATATGGTGTTTTAATTGTATTTTTTTTACTTTATTAGTGTCTATTTATAGTACATAACAGTGATGCTGCTTTTGGTAAATTGGTACACTTATATAAAATATCTTCACAATTTTTCATTCCTTTATTCCTCTCTCGCTTTCTTAAAGACCAAAGTCAACTGCCTCATTGACTTGTACTTTTTTTTAATTATGGTTGATGCAAAAACCATTTCTTTTTTTCAGGACTGAAGCAATCTTCAAACAGCATGGTGGGTTAAAAAAATGCCAAACTTGGAGTCAAAGAGCTTTGGCTCAAGTCCTAACTTTATCACTGACTCTGTGATCTCAGGCACTTCACTTCCCTGCTTAGAGCTACATTCTCTCTATCTTTAATAAAAGAGGGCTAGAATTGATACTCTCCAAGTGGCCTATCAACTTCAAGCCTGAGTGAGGCAAAAGTATCTTTCCAGTTAAGGCTGTTTGATTAGTGTAAGGAGTTGCTCAGTCTCCATCTTTCCATATGGGGAAGTTAGTGATATACATGAAAAAAAAAAAAAACTTTCCCTGGCCACAACCACCATCTATTGGATTAGCCAACTAATTTGTAGATATGTTTTAGTGCTTATATGAAGGCACTGGGGAGCCATGGCATAGAGAAGGCCTAGGTTGTGGAAGCTCCTTAGTAGATACTAGTTGGGGATGATTTGGAAGTATCATTTTTGTAAAGGGTTTAAGTCATATTGGTTTGTCTACTATCCCTGGCATATACCATTTCATTAGCAAGCACACAGCCCAAATATGTATATTTTTTCCAGAGAAGCAGTAACAAATATGTGTCAAAGATTTTAATGTTGTACTAAGCAGTAGATGTTGGAGAGCCAAGGGACTGGGGCTAGTCTCGAAGATCTCGTGAGTTGTAGCTATAACTCAGCCAGTGGAGCAAGTCGAGAGCCACAGTTTCTAAAACTGAAATCTGGATGCTATCATCAGATTTGTGGCAGCCAGAAGCTTGGTTCCATTAACTCAGAATGAAGCATCATGCTTTCTGTACCACCAGACACTCTCAACCTGGAGAAACAACCAAACTGTCAGTATAAGAACCGTAAATCTACAGGGGATATTAGATATGTTTATTCCTCTTCCTGAGAGCCTCCATGGCCATTCATTTGGCCATGAATATCCTCCCCTAGGTTTAGATTAAGGTCAGTAACACTGCCAGCTATTCACAATGCAGGAAGAACATACAAACTTGTTGCTTAGGCAGTGCTGTCAGAATGAATTAATTCACCTCAGATTTATATTAAGCTATGCAAAGGAAGCAGCACAACCTTCACTTCCTTTCTAATTATTCATTCCATCACTTGACACAATTTTCTTATGCTTCCAGTATATGCAAAGTTCTTAATGCCCCAGCTGAAAATGTTCTTTTTTTTTCTTTAATGCTGATGACTTTGATGAAGATCCCTACTCTTCATCTTCCTTGAGTTGCAAAGTTATGCCTAATTGTGTAAGAAGAATATTACCTGCAGAAATCAAAGTGAATTTCATTCAACAACAAGAATTTCTTTTCAATCTGTCTCAGCAGAGATGCCTGCCGCCCCCCACCCCTGGATTGGAGAAAATGTTGAATTTCTGAAACAATCTGCTCCAACCTCATATTCTAAGTATTGTTTTGGAAGGAAAAGAATGAGATAATATTTAGTGAATATTAAAATCAAATAATCCTTCTATTCACTTTCACAGTTTCTTTTTTTTTGGTAAGATCACAGCCTATATGTTACCCCATGGGAGAAAGGTCTATACATGGAGGTTTTGTTTCAAAAACTCTAAGTGTACACATCTTAGAAGAAAAACAAAACCAAGACAAAGGATCTTACTGCTTTGTCCTTGAAACCAAACAATTACAGGTGGCCAAAATCTCAGGATCCCCACTGGCCTGACAGTTACAGGAGAAGTAAGTAGGAAGAGCCACAAGGTTATACTTTTTGGGAAAAAAAATCGTCCTGTTTGCCTGTCACAACAAAGTTCCCCAAATCCCCATTATTCAAGTCATACTTTTGATTGAAGCCCTTTATTAAAATGTAAACATGTTTTCTGAAAAGAGTGGCTCATCAATCCCCAGATACACTTGAATGCCTTAGTGGGGACTAATTTCTCAGTCGAGACAGCCCCTCAGAAACAGCAAGGAAGTTTCTGAAGAATGTATCAGAACAGGAGCTAAGGTGAAAGGAAGGATAGGTCAGGGTAAGCAGGACAGTAAGGGAACAGGAGTGAGAAGGATCACTCAAAGGCAAGGGAGTGAGCAAAGAAGATGAATTTGGCCCACTCTGCCTTCTGTGCCTAAGCATAATACACCATCTTAATCTCATTCCAAATGTCACCACTAAGTTTTCTCAGCCAAGCAATGCTGCTCAAATTTGGCCTTGTGGAAAAATGAGTAAAGAAAGAAGATTCTGGAAGGAAAAAGAAAAAAGAAGGTTCTGGAAGGACACACAGTAACTAATACCAGCAATTGCCTTCAAAAAGGGGAATTGGATATCTGGCAGTAAGCGAGAAAGAGAGATTTACTTTTCATTCTATGCTTCTTTGTAACTTTTGAAACTTGTACTGAGAGAATGTATTACCTCCTCTAGCAATAAATAAATGAAGACATAAATAAAGTTAATCTGGCCCTTCCAATGTAAAAGAAAAACAGGTTTCAAGACCATAAGTCAAGTTCCCTATTACCCTTGTGAATGTGTATGATGGAACTGTGGAGACAGCAGAGTGGGTTCACTTCCTAGAAGTGTGATCTTGAGAAGTAACAATAATCATACACTCATCAAGTAACTAAAATGAAGCTTATAGGAGATGAGATCTGAATGTTTTCTAGCGCAGTAAAAGACAGTACTGCTTAACTTCTTTCTTTCTACTCCTCACCTCTCAGCTCCATGTCTACTCTATTAAAGGTATCACATTGAATCCTTTAAGCAAAATTTAATGCTAACTATTAAACAGACTAGCTGGTGCCAGTCCCTGTTATAAAACTCTTAGGACCTTTTTGCCCTGTATTAGTCATTTACCCATTGCTGAGACAAAAATACCCAACCCCCACAACACAGAGGAGGAGAAATTTATCTTGGCTCAGAGTTTCAGAAGGTTCAGTCCATGGTCTGCTGGCTCCACCCACCATGGTCAGCTGCAAGGCAGAAAAGTGAATTTGGCCAGCTACCACAGTGTGCTAGAAGGGTATGGTGGAGCAAAGCTCAAGCCATGGCAACCAGGAAGCAGAGAGAGAAGGATTTGGAGATAAGAATATCCCCTCCAGGTCAGGCCCCCAGTGACCCACCCCTCCAACCAGGCCCCACCATCTAACAGCACATGAATTCACCAATGGATTAATCCACTGATGAGTATAGCACCCCCGTGATCCAATCACCTTCCAGAAGCCCTACATCAAAACACATGAGACTTTTGGGGGACATTTTAAATTTAAAACATAACATTTTACCCCTGAGCCTCTAAAAGGTTCTTATCCATCTGATTATGGAAAATGCATTTAGTTCATCCCAAAGTCTTGCCAAAGTTCTAACAGTTCCAGCATTGATGAAAAGTCCAAGTCCAAAGTCTCCTCTGAGACTCAAGGCAAACTCTTAGCAGTGAGCCCCTGTAATGATCGAATGAAAGTTCAACACTTCCAATGTACAATGACACATGGTAAACATTTCTATTCCAAAAGGGTGGAATAGGGGGATCAAAAGGAATCAGGCTAAAGCAGAACCAAAACCCAGCAGTGCAAAATTTAAATCCTGTAGCTTCATGTCCACACCTGCAACAGGTTGTGGTGACGTGAGTTCCAAAGGGCTTGGACAGCTGTGCCCCTGTGGCCTTGCTGGTTGCAGCCCACATAGCCTCTCTTGAGCTGACTCTAGTCACTGCCCGTGGCTTTCTACAGCACAGGCTCAACTTCAACTTGCTGGGGTCTCCATGGCAGTTTTGGTTTCACTCTTACAGCTTTATGTATTGCCCTCTCTTGGGCTTCTGCAGGGTCTGTCACCCTGTCACTCAACGTTGTCTGACTTCCTAGATCTTTTTCTAAAATTTTTGTGGAAGCCTCTATGACCCCATAACTCTTGCATTCTGTATGCTTCCAGAACCAGGACTATGTGGATGATGCCAAGGTGTGTCACCTTTGGGGGGGGGTATGTTATGTCTAAACCATAATATATCTCTTCTATGAGCTCATCTAATATTTTAAAAAGTAGGTAGGCCCTTAAGTCGTAGAATATCTGCTATCAGAGTTAATATTCTTTCCTATGAAATTTTATCTTATGTAAATCCCACATCCATTGTAACCCATATGGTTTCATGCGCACTTTTTTGTAGGGGAAGTTGTGTGTGTGTGTGTGTGTGTGTGTGTGTGTGTGTGTTTGTGTGTGAAGGGTACTAACATAAATTATGGCCAAAGTGTCTTGAATGTTACATGTCTTTGAACTAACACCATTAAGTCACCATCACTTTTAAAAGATTTAAGAACAAGACTTGCTTGTAATTGGCAAATCTACAAATATGCCTTCTGCAAATGGCTTGATTTGGGGGGATCATTTTGGCTGTTACAATGCTCATGACTTCATTTTCAACAAGTAGCAGGACCCTGATTATTCTGCTGCTGTTGGAGTGATGCATGTACAGCCTGTCTCTAGTGACCTGACATGCTGTCATGAACAAAAGCATTATTTTATGGAAAAGTTCATGATTCCTGTCATAACTCCTCCTGTTAATTAGTAAAACATGGGGTTTCTTCAAATTAAATGACAGTTTGAAATTGCAGGGAGAGCAGAAATTAAATACCTTTAGGATATCCTCTGGTTTATTCTTCCTGGTCCTTCAAAATGGTTGACACTTTTGTGAAGACAGATCCAAGTAATTATGGAAAAGAAACCCTAATGTCTTTGGACTGTTTTCAATAAACAATTAATACCCAGGTATTCAGTAAGCTTCCACATGAAGGGAAAGATAGACAATAGACACATCACTTTTAGTCTACTACCTCCAGCAGCTTTACTGTTTAGCTGAGAAGACCAGGTACACACACTGAACTAGTGAATGATGAATACAAAAATATGGAGAAAGGCAAAGGCTTCCTGAGCAGAACTTAGGCAGGAAGTGTGGTATTCCAGGTGGAAACAGTGAGACCGAGGGAGGCAGCTTGGGTAAGGCAGAAATCCATTTCTCAATACCACAGGTAAAAGTTTTTTATTAAGCATTGCTCAACAAATTTACAAAACCTGCTGGGCCTTTCAGGCTCAAGCTCTGGCTTTTTATTCTCTGATGGTCCTTTGGCAAGCCAGCCCAAACTGAATCGTACTAAACTTTCTCTAAGGCAGTTCAGAGGCTCCTAATCTTTACAGTTTCATCAGAAATACCAAAGGTGACCGTGATCATGTGTGATGTCCCACTTCCCCTGCACCCAGGGTTATGGAAGGTTGGAGAGGGTGAAAAGATCAGAGGAAGTATGGCTCGTATCTTCATAGCTCGGGCCTATGGTTGATTGGTATACTCCTGGTCTTAGCCTTCAAGCATTTCAGGGGACAGAAGGAGTTTGAGGCAATGGAAGAAAGACCTTAGTTTATCAGGCAACACAAGTGAACATGGATGAAATTCATATTTTTAACACCTGGCACTTCAGAGGCACTCCATATTTGTCACATGGATACCAAGATATGCATGAGTGAAGGAATAGTTCAAAATTATGAGGGGAGAGAGTAGAACAAGGTTTTAAAAGGCTAGAAGTCTCCTAGCAGGGAAACTTCTCATAAGTGTACCACTCCTGGGAAGAATAAATAGTAATGTTATCGCTATCTCAAAAAAGCAGTATTTCTCCAAGTGGGAAGGCTATTGGGGTTTTTTGTTTTTTTTTTTACAGATTCTGGAGTTTGGGACCTGTGACATTTTCTGAGGTAGGGACACATGACATTTAATACTCTCTTTGCTGCTGCGTTTCAATGAGGGGGTGCAAGGTGAAAACACTATTTTCACTAATTCCTGCCAAATTCTGTCAATGGACAGATATTTCCCTCTCCTTAGCTGGAATTGGGAGGACACTTTCACTTTTCAGTGTCTTCTCTGGCATTTTCACAAGAAAGCAGATGTTGTACTGGGGAACTGCTTGCCAAATGCTATTCTTTTTTTTTTTGTATTAAATTCTTTTATTGGTACATTGTAGGTATACAACACAATTACATTTCCCATTGGGAACTGTACCTTTACATAATGCATCTTGGTTCTTATTTTTTCCCCACTCCTAGCCCTCCCATCACCCCCTCCACCCTTCCCTATTTACAAAGACTTTATTTCCATTTTCTCCATTTCTCATCATTTTTCCTTTCCCTTCTTTCCTTTCCCCTGCCCCTCCCACTACCCCTACCCCTTTGGACCTTTTCTTCCTATTTTGCATTATCGATTATTCATTCTAATCATTGGTACATTTTAGGTATACAATATAATGACATTCATCATTGGAAATTTGCACCTTTACATAGTCTCTCTTGCTTCTTATTTTTCACCCTTGCCCAGCCCTCCCTTCAACCCCTCCATTCCTCCCTATTTACAAAGATTTTGTTCCTATTTTTCCATTTTCTCATATTAATCGCATTCCCTTCTTTCCTTTCCCCTAGCCCTCCCACTTCCTTCCCCTTTGCCCCTTTTCTTCCTAGTTCACATTATCTATTATACATTTTAGTCCTTATTTACACTTTCAGTTTCTCACACCAGAGAAACTATTCGGTATTTATACATGTGTGTCCTATTTATTTCACTTAAGAGTATTGCCTCAATGTGCATCCACTTAGCTATAAATGTCTCTAATTTCTCATTTTTTATGGCTGAGTAGTACTCCATTTTATTAAAAAACCACAATTTTCTTTATCCAGTCTCCAGTTGATGGGCATTTGGGCTGTTTCCAAGTTTTAGCTATTACAAACTGCGCTGCTATGAACATGGGTGCACATATATCACTGTGGTATGATTCTTTTAATTCTTTGGGGAAGATCCTCAGCAGTGGAATATCGGAGTCAAATGGGACTTCCAGTCCTAGTTCTTGGAGGTATCTCCACACTGATTTCCACAGTGGTTGCACCAGTCTACACTCCCACCAGCAGTGGAGCAGGGTTCCTCTTTCCCCACAGCCCCGCCAGCAACAAATGCTATTCTTAAGCAAAAGTCATAAACTAAAAATTTAAAAATTATTTTAAAAAACAATTTCTGCTTACATCAACAAATGAGTGGGCAATTTAAGTACAAAGAAGAATATTGGTATAGATAAAAGCAGTTTGTAATTAAATAGGACAGTTAGATCAGCTTTAGAATTAAACAATATTTAGATAACAAAGTTTCAGCTAATGTGACTCAATGTACAATAAATAATTGTAGTACATACATTAATGCATCTTTGTCACTTGAAAAGTTTTGACCATCTGATGGGCAATTAACCAAGATGGGCTTAAAAGTCTCCTTAGCTTGAGGAATTTCTAGACAGATTTCTTCCTGATAATAGGCCCCTGACCTCCTCTTTCTTAGAGCATTTGGTTTAGAACACGGGATTGTTAATTCTGTCTCTGCTTTTTAAAGATGTAAATCCTTTCTTAGTCTCTAGCCAGTGTTACAACTGAGCAATGTCTTTCTGAAGAACTTAGGAGCCATCCCTTTGAAATATAATCATCAAAAAAGACATGTGCCCCTGTCTCCGAGTCTCTGTAGGAGGGTGAGAGTCTATTTTCTTCAAGTACAAATTAGCAAACTCTGATGGCCCAAAACACTGACAACCTCGTCCCTAACTTCCTCCAGTGAGTTTCCTCTAACTCACCGGGCACTTAAAATCTTGCCCCACATTTTATTGTATTTCAACAGAGGAGAGTTCAAGCTCTCTCCCATATTGCAATAATTTTGACCCCCATTAGAGTACTCTGGAATAGTCTCATTTATACATAAAAAATAATATACATGTGTCTATGAAAACAATGGCCAAATTTTCCAAATCCAGTGTTTCTTATCTTAGTGCTGAGTAAACTTATGTGTTCAATTAATATGTAAGCTTCCTAAGGGCAAGAATCTTGTCTGCCTTGCTTATTGGTGTACCTTGGTGTCCAGCACATTTCAGTCAAAATTTTTTGGTTGCCAGAAAGAGGAACCAAATGTCTTTGAACAGATCATATTGTTAGTTCCGGTTAACTGAGAAAGGGGACCAATTAACCAAAAAAGGGTCCAAGGAAAAGGACTAAAGTAATTTACAGAAAGATTAAAGAATGAAGATTTTAAAAAGCTAGAGGTCTTATAGGAGGGAAACTTCCCATAAAGGGACCACTCCTGGGAAGAATAAACAGCAATCTCTTCTATACTCACTTTACAAGCTTAAGAGCCAAAGTCCAATAAGAGAACAATTCCAATCAGCTGAGCTTAAATTGTATGCTGTATTAAGCAGTGAGAGAAGGAATGTTGCAGACAAAAAACCTTCAGGGAGCTCTTTGGATTTGGTAGTGGTTGGAGAAAAGTTTGGATTTACCACCCCCTCCCCCAAGAATACCCACACAGTGTGAGAAGTCATTCTACAAGACATTAGGGTGGTGCCAGGAATGAATGAGAAGCTAGAAATTTAAAAACCCACAGTATGTCTACTACTAGTACACACACACACACACACACACACACACACACACACACACAATTTAGGTCTGAATACATTTTCGTTGAATGAATGGCTAATTCAGTAGCAGACTTCTTCCATGAGGGTGTAGTAATACTTAGAAGAGGATGTTTCTCCCCCACATTCCCATGTCTTACTCACATATTCATTTTTTTTTTAAGGCTAAAGTGAATTAGGAAGTGTTGAGAGAGCAACATGAGTTTGAGATAAGCATCCCAGATGACAGGTGAGTGCTGTTAGAAAAGGTGACTTTTAGAGTTCTTAGGTACACAGATTAGCCTCACTCTAAAGAAAATCAATACATGAAAATGTATTTAATTGTCTGTTTCTTCCTTGCCACGTCCCTCCAGTTGAGTTCACAACTGATGACATTTTTGAAGATGCTCCATTAGACAGCTTTCTAAGAGTTTCCCCAAATATCTGACAATGCATGTTAATCTCCACTTCTAGAACCTTTCAGCCTTGATTAGGGAGTACTCTGTCGTCTGATAAGGAAACCTAGTAGGCATGCTGCTTGCATTCTTCATCTTACTGTGCTAATGGCATGACATTCACAAAGTGAAATAGAAAGGAGGTACCCTTCATGGCACCACATTGGTAGACTCTTATGTGGTATATTTCAAAAAGACCAAAAGAAATCAATAATAAGCAGTAACTTCAAATATTGAAAAGATATCTCATCTAAATGCATAAGAAGAGTACAGATGCTTTCTTAACATATGCATCCCTATGCAAATCAATATGCAAATTAAAACAAAAAGTTAGGACTTGCAAATTCTCAAGTTTCCAAGATTTACTTATGTTAACCTAGTGTTCATCACAGAAACAAAGTCGAGAATTTGTGCTTATATTCCATCATTTAGATGTGAAGGAAGGCAAAATTGAAGGATATGCTACATTAATAGGTCAAAGGCACTCATATAAGGAGATAAGCTAGATATATGGTTAAATGAATAGATAGATAGTTTCCACCTTCAAAATGTTAGCTAGCTCATCCATCATGGTCATCATCATGCTTGGTTGTGAGCGGCAATGGGACTAGAAATGGAAATGAATCTGAGTTGCAGTGAATTTTGATGAAGGCCTAGTTCATACAAGAAAGATTTTTTTTTAATCCTTAGCCCACAAATTCCCAAGGGAATGGAAAACTCCAGGGAGTTTCAGGGAAAAATAAGGACCTAGGCTACACTAAATCTTTAGATACTGGCCATTTCGGGAGTAGAGACATAAAGATATACATTATGTGAACCACACTTCCCCAGCCAGCATCATCTAGGTCTTTAGTGGACCCAAGAAATCAGGCAAGGGCCTGAGGCTGGGGAAATATTTCCCCGTATTGGGGCTGGTGATTATGCAGCTAGTCAGGGGTGAAAAAGGATCCTTCTGTTCTCTCTACTTCCTTTAGATCTAAGTTCAACAATGTGAGCAGGTAAAAGTTTCAATGAGGTTTGGCATTCTTTGAGTACGTTAGCTAACCAAATACATCATCCTGATCACAACACCAGTCCTATGCTAAACACATAGAGGAGGAACAATGCTGTAAAAGCCACAGTTCTGTCCATAAGAAACTAGGACTGTCATTAGGGTGATAAAACATCTTCACCTATAACAATTTGTCTAAAGTAACATGTGTTAACTCTTCAAGCTGTGTGGTAGAGCTCTTTAGGCATAACAAGCAATAGCTACTTAATTATTAGTCCAATTCCACAAATATTTATTGAGCACTGAAGTACTGAACAAAATAGACTTAGTTCCTAGAATTGGCTGGGAAGACAGACAAATGCAGAGTAAAAATATAGTGTGTGATACTCTCACATTCTGCTACTGGAGGTTTCTATTTATACACCTAGCAGCAGATCACTAGGTATAGATAGCTATTTTGAAAACTGTTCTGCAGTTTCTTATAAAATTAAACATACCCCATGATCCAACAATTCCATTCATGGCTTACATACTCTAGAGAAATGCAAACATGTGTCCACAAAAATATTTTTACACAAATGTTCATTCATGCCATAAAGGGAAACAACCCAAATGTCCATCAACAGGTAAAGGGATAAACAAATTGTGGTACATTCATGCAGTGGAATATTACTTTGCAGTGAAAATAGAATGAACTATGGATATACACAATAATATGAACAAACAAGCCAGATGTATGTATGTTGTTTGTATTGTTGTATGACTTCATTTATTTAAAAAAGCAAAAGTAATTGATGAATATACAAGACAATAGTCTTATATATTGTCTGAGGGAA